TTTATGTGAAATGGAAAGAAAGACATAAAAGGAGTCAAGTCTTCTCCTAAACCGTTCTTAGTGCTTCCACATATAGTAGGGCCACTATGTTTTAAAGAACTATACGTTAAAAAAAATATGAGCAATCTGTAGCAAAAATCGCTGGGATATAACCCAATATGGCTGCTCCCAATTAATTCAGGCAAGTCCTTGCTCTTTTCCCTTTGGTGATGGAATATGTCAACAGAATTGAAGAGTTTATTGTTTTAATTATGATCATCTTCATCAGCATCTTTATTATTGTCAGTCCAAAATAATATTTCGAAAGGAAGTATCGTGACAAAAAATATAAGATATAAAGCATAAGTCAAATAAAACTCTGGGCCTGATTAACACATTACTAAAGCACTTCCGAAGGATTATTTAAAGAATTCTGTAAGCATCATCACAGTTTGGCCACCAAAAATATAATAGCAGAATCTAAATTTAAGGGAAATAAATGCAAAATAGGACAGATCTGCAGTGTTTTAGTCACTACAAAGATAGATTCTCAGCCTCCTCTGCTTTTGTTATTTTATTTATTTAATTACTGGCTTAGTCATCACTCTGAGCAGCTGCCTTCCATATGCAAACATGGCTAAAACAATAATCAATAAATATAGGTAATAAAGGTCCTATGCCTTTTGTAAAACATTCAGGGCCAGAGCGGATGAATTTGCACAAAGCACTACTTCATGGCTAATTGAAACTATTTATTGAATTAATGCAATTTTCTGACTTCATACAACTCAAACTTCAAACTAACTTTATTCTAGATTATGCAAGCTCAGCCATTATGCAAATCAGGCTGTTTTGTTCAACAAGCCTCAGCTTTACAAAATCCAAACCAAACTATGTTTGTTCTCTGCTGAATAGCTTATTCATTACCAAGGACAATAAAGCATATTAAGACTATAGAGGTTGGATAGGAAGAATTTGAAGAAAATCTGTCTTTAGTCCTTCATTGCTTTTTTGTGCCTTGTCCCAATTTATCTATAAACTGGAGTATTTCTCACAAGCAACTCTCTACTTTCAGATCCATACAATGTCTCAGCTTTACCCAATTTTATCTGAATTTAGAAGCTGAAGGTCAGGCCTCATTAGTCCTTGGGTAAGAAACCACCGGGGAATTCCAAGCCTGAAGGGCAGAGGGGTGGAATTAAATACAACCTGGAAGAAGGCAATAGCAAACTGAATTGTTGCAAAGAAATTGTAGTCGTCGGGCATATTTTTTTTGTTTTTGGTCAATCACCCTTGATTTTATTTTAAGTAATAAATCTGAAAATAAGGAGTTCTGGGAATTGTCTCTCATGAAGAAAAATAAAAACAAAGAAATGCCCGCCACACAGATCATACAGTGTATTAATGGAAAAGAATCATTATCATCTGAATGGAACTTACATTTTCTCCTTGCATCAGAGTAAGAGAATGGGCATTTTTAGCCCATCATCTACCTCAGGTCAGCATGACAAAGGAATAAATGTGCCCTGGGCCATCTCTTCCCAATACCCATTCCCTTTTTAAAATTATTTATTTCTAGAGAAGGCAGGATCCAATTTCTACTTCTGGCCCCAAGTGGAATCTAGGAACAATATATCGGAGGAAAAAATAACAAAAATGGATCTTTACCACCAGTTAGGATGGCAGGTTAATGTAAATAAAGCTAAAGGCAGCATTTAAAACTAACATCTGTATAAAAAAACAATTATCTAATGGATTCCATAATTCCTGGAGATCACAGACCTTTTAAATGGAATATGACTTTAAATCTACAAACTGGCTTTTCTGTCAGTCTGTAGACAGAAAAGGCTTTCGCTTATTTAACTTACATATGGAAATAAAATAAATGATCTCATTTTCATTGATAAATTTCATGGATTTCTTTCACTAATCAATGTTTCCTCACCTCTCAGTTTTGATCCTGTTAGATTTGAAGATATTTCCTCTTACTATTTCTTTATTACACCAAATAACATTCAGACAAAGTTTCATTTTTTTAAGGTGGCTTTTATTATTTCCTTCTAATTGTTATTTCAATTTCCCATAGCACCTTGGCAATGTCAAAAACAAATACAAATACATGTATAATTTTAACAATTAAGCATGAACCTACTCTACACAATTTCTTGGATTAGACAGCTTTGACAACAGGAATAAACCAAACTGATAATAGATAAGCCAAATAATTGAGATATATATGAAGCCATCACTCTGATAAGTCAGATTAGATGTGTCACAGAAGTCAAACTTTTTGGGAAAAAGATACAGCTGTGTAGTTTGGTTTATTAAAACAGAAGCCATTTGCACACCAACACTTATATTTGAAATTTTTTGAGGGAAATTTTATCCATAACTGATTTTTTTAAAAAAAGTCATTAAATAAAAGTGTTGAAGTTGTTAACAGGTTAGTACAGAGGCTGATTAGTTCCTATGCTAAATCTTAAATCTACATTAATACACTCATCCCCATCTCTTCAAAAGAGTCCAGGGCTGAAGATGCAAATAACCTTCATCCAATGAACCAAAAAAAAAAAGGGGGGGGGAGATGAGGGGAAATCAGAAACCATCCTAAAGGAAGCCAATGCTATGTAATAGATTCTCTCTCACATACACACAAGAGCATGATAGACCATTACAGACTGATGGTGATCTTATGTTTCAGAAGAAAATATCAAAAGTTAAAAGAAAAACCTATTGCATATTTCTTGTAATCAACAGTTTACAAAAGTTTAAGCAATCCCCACCCCGAAGTGCATTTCTGTTGCATTTTATCAGTATACAATGTTGCATTTTATAAATTTAATCTGTACACATGTAGCAGGAATTTTTATCCAAGTGAATGTTCACTCAATGACAATAAAAATCGTGGATATATTTAGACATTTAGCTGATACTGACAAAGTAATAAGGCCGTAGCTATTTAAATTATAGTAAAGCATTGTTTAAGTCACTTAATTGCTACTGATTTGCCCATATCTTCAGATCAATAAGAAGAGATTGATTTTAATCTGTTAAAACAGCATTGCAACTTTCCAAGCTACTTTGGGAAAAAAAGAGAAAACAAATAGAAATACAAATTTAACCCACAGAGAATCTTCTCCTTTTCCCTTCTAGAGAATACCATGGCTCAGAATTATTGACTAAAATTAAAGATACAGAATGTGTAAAAAACTCAAAATTTCCTGCTAATGAAGATCTCCTTTCACAAGTTCAGGAAACAACGGTAATTGTGATCTTTATCATCTTGCATATTATATTTCATCAAGTTTAAGGGTAAAAGCCATGTACGTCCAATGATGACCTATTAAAAAGGAAAGTGTTCTCTTAGTTGATAGTTTTGGCACTGATGCTCTATGAAATGCAAACATCAGCTTCATCTCTGTTGTTCCAATATTTACAATGAAAATGCTCTTTTTATTGCATTTATCAGTATAATCATATTGGCAATGTCATTTACGTTCAACCATTGCTGAGACAGAGGATAATGATTTACAAGTTGGTCAATATATCAACTTTCAGTTTTAACAATGTTGATTTGCTCATTTACATTTAATGCACAACTATGCAGAAAACAAACACTACCAATATTGCACATCCTTACAGCAAGATAGTATAATTGCCCAGACATTGAATCTAAAAACTTATTGTGTCTCATTTCTAAATTAATATGGGAAGACTGATGAAAATCTAATTTAGTCTCTGAAAATAATAATTAGCCCAAATACCGTTATCATTCAAAAGTAATTGCAAGTTAACAGCATATAGCATATGGTTCTTTTTTTTTTTTTACTTCGTCATTCCTTCTATCTAAATTTACAGATTTAGGTATTCATGATAACAAAATAGACAGGAATATTGGAGAATGAAGATGTTAACTGAGGAAACACTTATTAAACACTTCAGTTTTAGTAAATCCCTCCAAGGTATTAATCTGACATTGGAAAAAGCTGCTTTTACACACTTTACACATACATTGCACAAGAGCCACTTGTGTGGGGAAAGCACACATGCGCAGACATAAGCTTCAGGATGTACAACACATCCTTTCCCACAATCAATTTTTTCCCTCACAAGAAATTGTCTGTGAGTTATGTTTGCTTTAATATCCAATAAAGAAAAGAGTTACATTTAGTTGATCTGTCTTTGAATACTAGATTCAATTCAAGCTTGAACATATAAACAGTTAGATTTCACATCCTTGCATTGCCAAGTAACTTTTAAAGTAGCATCTTCCAACAGAATTGCATTCTTCTTGAAGAGGAAGCATTTTTAAATAACTCCTAGCAACTGTTAATTCAAATCCATTTTTAATTTGCAATGACACAGTGCTTTATCTATCCTAAAAACAACTACAGTATAGCAGTTCAACAGTTTTTCCATTCCAAGTGCAACAATCAGAATTATGAGTTTTTTAAAATGAAGTATTTATACATTTTTCAGAATTCCTAACGTTTTAAGTACTTCACCTTTTGTATCATATTCAGCAAAAATAGTATTATGAGTAAACCAAAGTGAGTTTGTACTTAAGAGACGTGATCAATTATTTGTTTTAATGTAAAATCTGCCAAGGCCAGCAGCTACTTCAAAAAGAGAAATGATTAATAACATGCATAGAAAAAGAATATCAACTGCCTTAAGTACATTTGCACTTCTCTGTCAAAAAAAAAGTGATTGCCAAGCTGAATAAGTTAGAGAAATGACAAATCTGGATGGATGGATGGATGGGTGTGTGTGTATACACACACACACACACACACACACACACACACACGTGTATATATATATATATATATATGTGTGTGTGTGTGTGTTATATATATATATAGTGTGTGTGTGTGTGTGTGTGTGTGTGTGTGTGTGTGTGTGTGTGTGCATATCACACACATATACATATATATACTTATAAAAATAGATATGAGTGTTCTCAAAGCCATTGATAGAGAATGCCTACCGAATAAGAAATTGCCAAAAGTTTTGGCTAAGTAAAATCAGAAGATTACCATTTTCACAGTTAATTAATCATCTGCCACTGACATTTTAAAGTTATAACTAACACACAAACTAAAATGCATTGTGGTATGTCATAACTGAGTTTTCCAGTGTTTACAACTAATGTCTTTAAATTTGTATATTGCTACCAACTAAAGAATCCAATATACTTTCCCCTAACACTTTAATACAGAACTTTGAAGTCTAGCATGCTGATTTTGCAAGATTAATGTTTTGTAATTGTCTTAGTTCTTTTCTTAAATTCTATAATCAGCTTGTAAACCACACTGCTTGTTGCACATTGTTATTCTAATTACCATCCTAATATTCTTGCCAATGTTCTCCAAAGTAAGTTAATTTTCAGTTATCAGCTCTATCAAACAGAGAAACTTAACAATCTTTGTTTTGTCTCCCCATTAAATAAAACCTGATTTCTGGTAGTTTTGAAACTCCCTCAAGTAGAAAAAGTGTTTTCAGTATATCCAAGTACAGCCCTAGGGTGGCCATTCTATTTGTTAAAGTTAAGTCAGACCCCCAAAATTAACTTACCTCCTTCTAGAGAATTGAGAATATTAAAGAGTTGAAAATCTCAATTCAATGCACCAAGCTAATGTTTACTATGAAGTTTCACATTCCCTATTTTTAGTTCTGCATTAGTATCAGAATAACTACATTCCAGCTAGATGTGCTTAATTCTGTAATAAAGGATCAGAGAAAACATTAAAGCAGTGGAAAAAATAAAACATTATCCCTAATTAGAGAAAATGCTGGAACAAATTAAAATCTTACCCACTATTTCTTGTTTACTAATCTTGCTGTTTGCATACTCGAGTAAAATCATAGTTTTAAAAGCTGACCAAAATTAGTAAAGTCAAAGACTATATTTCCAAAACACAAAATCCTACAGTAGTACAATCAATTATCATCAGTGACGAAATCATGACATAACAGGTAATATGGCTACACTCATTCATACTGACCAAGCATGTCAGTTTTGGGGCTGAATTGTAATGCAAGGCCATTAATGGCATACATGACATCTTACAAGCCATACCTTAAATAGATTTTTAGAAGTAATTTATAACTTTTACAGTTTTTTTTCAAAAAAAAAAAAATATTTGCCCCCTCTTCAAGTAAGAAACATGCTAATATGTGTATTTGTTCCTCATCTTTAATAAGCTAGTTCTTAATGCAAAAATCTAATTCAAACAGGAAATTAAAAACAGAAAGTTACAAAAATTATAATCTTTGTCATATTTATATTGATTCTATTTCTCCAGCATTTTGTATCACTTCGAGATGAATATTGGGATCCCTTTAAGCTCTCTCACATTGCAAACCCTGTGCTCTTCAATTTATTGTCCACTTTTCCTATATTGATATCTCTCTTGAGCTGGCCAGTTTCTCCTCTACTGCTCTTTAATTCACAGTTCTGATTAAATAAAAAGTTTGATCAATTTTCCTTTGGTGATCGCGGTGGCATATACTGTTCCTTGCCAACTCGCCGAGGCGCTCCCTGAGGAGAAGACCTACGTCCACATTGGCGCCTCTGTTCCCTGATTTTTCCTGCAGCTCCTTTGGGAGGCCCATTGCCTCTGAAAACAGCCAAGTCATTCACCCGTCCTTCTGACTTTTCATGTGTCTTCTCTCCAGCCTTCTCATGGGTGCCATTTTCTTCTGTTTTTGCAGGGGAGGTTACATTAGAACGCAGCTCCCTAAGTGGCTGAGCAGGAACAGAAGGTACTTCTTTTGGAGGTTTCTGACAGACCTCAGCATAACTGAGCTTCCGAGGTTCCTTACCAAAAGAAAAATGCTTTAGTATGCCTCTAATATAACCAAATCAAGGGGCATATATGCTAGTGACAATTTAAAATTAAATCTATATTAAAGCAATTGTATGTAGTTACTCCCTAATTTATAACTAAGTGCTTAGCAACTGTTTGAAGTTATGGCAGATCCTGGAAAAGTTACTTACAACTGAGTTTCAAAGTTACAATTCCAGCAGCAACCCCAAGGTCATGGGAACAACATCCAGGCAGATTCTTCTTCTGGAAGAAGCTGCTGCACCACAGAGCCTTCCTACATAGTCCAGAGATCATGTTGGGAAAGGAGAGCAGGCTGCTCTGCTCCTCAGCATACCTGCAGGGCTTCATGGCACTATCCAGGAAGTGGGTATCATTTTCAGAGTGGCCACCATGTTGCAACCATTCTAAAAATGGTGCTACCTGGGGATGCTGGGGTGGTGGTGTGTGTGTGTGGAGCAGCCTACTCTCCTTTTCCAATGTGAGCTCAGGAGTTCTTTAGATCAGTGGCCCCCAACCTTTTTTGTGCCACGGCCCGGTACTGGCATCACAAAATGATCTGCGGCCCGGTACCGGCATCAGCATGCATGGCAAGGCGAGCCGAGCGACCGGACAGCCAGCCGTCCCCCGCTTCTCCCCACCTTCAACTCCTCCTTTGTACCTTTTTTGTGCTTTCTTAATCTCCTCCGCCATCGGGACGGCTCTTTGTTCGAAGCCGCCCCCCCACTTCGATGAAAGTAAGGCGCAAGGATTCCTTCAGGACCCAAACGCCGCTTTCCAATTGGAAAAGCTCACCTGGAAGCACTTTCTCATCAAAACAAGATGGCGGCACCCAGCAAACTGGCGGCCCGGTAGAAAATGATCCACGGACCCGTACCGGTCCGGGGCCCGGTGGTTGGGGACCCCTGCTTTAGATGGCAAATAATCGGTGATGGGGGTTGGGGAGGAGGGTGTGTGGGACCCAGTGAGTCCCAAACCCTGTGGGGACCCAGTAGAGTAGGAAAGTAGGTCCAGGGTCTGAAAGTACAGGGTACCTTGGGGCGGGGTAGGACCTTGAAAAGCCTAGGGCAGGTGGCCCTAGAAGGGGCTTTCAAGGGCTTTGCTCACCCCAAATGCCCCCCTCCAGGTTCTCTACTAAATGATCCTTGTTCAGGAGAACAGTAATGGTGATTGTTAAGCAAGAAAATCATGCGGTCACCTTGCTTAACAACAATCAGGACTTTCTACTATAATGGGCGGACTCCATTACGGTCATAAGTCAAGGACTCCTTATATTTGTTCTACCATTTTCATCCAAATGAGTCTGACATTTTTATTTCAGGTTTTTTAAAAGATTAAATTCTGTACCTCTGTTATACCTGGAAGGTGGTTTATTAAAACTAACAAAAACGATTTAAAGCAGTACCTTACCTGTATCACTACAGCAGGCATTGGGTTTGCATTGGTTGTGGATGAAGTGGTATTTGTCCTGGGTGATTTTACAGTACTGGGGGGGCATACAGATGAAGGTGGGGAAGTCTGACTTGCAGCCTCCTTATGCACATGAACATCTAGTTTTTTCTCTTGCTGAGTGGCACTAGAAAAACCATTAACAGAATTGTGTGACATCTTGCATATTCAAAAATGTTTTAAAAACAAAATAACAAAAATGAATTGCTTTGAAGCATACAGACGTTTTCGAACACATTGAGTTTCTGCTTTGGAAATAAACGCAACAATGACTTTTGTTTCATGCTTTCAGTTCAGCTACCTGAATTAAAATTTTCAAAAGGAATCAAACTTGCATAGTATTTTCTGTCTGGGGTTTATGTTAGGAGAAAATAAAATATTACCAATGTTACTGGTGATAGAACTAAAACACACAAAATGTATTTGTGCTTCTCTTGCTATACAAAATAATTACTGGTATTACTTGTAATTGGAAGATCAATCTCCATACCTTAATCCCGGAAGATCAATCCCATAGGGAGAACTGGCATTCGTGACAGGCTGAACAACACTTTGGCCCTGCTGCTCTTCCTGAGTGGATGTTAGACAACTAACTGTCAAATCTTTGTTTTCCTAAATAGAGCAAAATGGAAGGAAGAATGTTTACAAAAATACAGATTAAAAACTAAACTTGTGTTATTACAGAAAAGGAAAATTAGATATCATATAGGCCAGAAGCCACCTCACAGCATTGAGATCAAGGATAGACAAATTATTATTGCCAGAGTAGCAAGGATCTAAGTTGGCAGCGCAATAACAAAAAAAGAGGGAACAAATCACAAATATGAGCAAGGCTCAATAACAAAAAAATAAATAAAAAAGAACAAGGGGCTCCATCAACCCTATCTTAAGGCCTAGTGCAGCCCCATCTAAAATTGAAGACAGGAAAGCAATGGGATTGGGGAAATGAGGAGGGCCTTCTCAGCTGTTACTCCTGACCCCCGGAACATCTTGACCACCAGTGTGAGATGGGCCCCAACCCTCCTATCCTTTTGTAAGGGCCAAAGACATGGCTGTGCCAGTTGGCTTGGGGCTCCAGTGGAGGATCAGTGCAAAGGAGGTGGTTGATTAATAACAGAGCCCACTCTGCCCTCGCCCTTCCCCATATGTTTTTGGTTTTAATGTTTGTTTTTAACTTTTCGTGTTTTAGATTTTATGTAACTATAAGACGCCCAGATAGGCCAATAGTTTTTTTAAAAAAATATAAAGGACTCTAATATTCACAGCTGCTCAGTCTTGGTAAGCTATATCAGAGTTGGTTCCTTCCTCACAGCCTCCAGCACTAGGATAGGACCTGCAAGAATGGAGCCTGTTCTTGAGGTGCTTCAAAAACCTCATCTCCAAGACTCACATGTTTGGAGAAAGGCTTCTGAAGCACAGCAGGAATGATGTTCACTTACAGAATGGCACAAGGTGGCTTTGATAAGAAAGCGGCAGTATTGCAGTCTCCTGCAGCCACATGATCACCATTTGCAAGCTTCACAGCCAGCCTCTCACACACCAAGTCACTGAGAAAGCCAGCAGTTGGTAAGTCACACTTACATCTTGTTGCGTTCAACAACTGCAGGTAATTTACTTAACAAGTGCAGCAGAACAGACAAGTTATGCACATTTATAAGACATTTCAATTACAACTATGTCACTTAGCAACAAAGTTGCAGGTTCCAATTGAGATTTGTTATTGGGCAGTAGTCTGCGGCTGAAGAACTGTAAGCCGCGTTTTTTCAACATTTTTTGCTTATTGCTGGATGTGAGAACACCTTAGAATAAAATTTCATTTTCCTATACTGTACTGGTGCAAGCTCAGAATGTACTAAAGCTTTAATCTCTTGAATTTTACAATATATTCATATATATAAATTTAGCAAAAAGCACTTTTGCAAAAGCTATTAGTTTTGCTCTTGTTCCTAAGGTAATGTAAACAACAGTTATTGTTTGGATTCAAGCAAATGTAGTAGCGATGAATTAAGCATGCTTAACATTGTCAAATAATATAGTGATAAATAATGAAATAATGAAATGCAAGATTAAAATTGAGAGAGAATGTGAAAAAAATACAACTAAATACCTTTTCTTTGCTTATTCCTTTAACTATATCTGACATCCTATTCTCCAGAACAGGATCTCCTTGTGTTTTTATCATGCTGCCCGGTAATGGAGGGAAATTTGAGGCTAGCAAGTCAAACTTTGGTGTCAAAGTCTTGGTTTCAACTGAAGCCTGAGGTCGCTAAAAAAAGAAGTAGCAGGTTAATATGTATTATTCTCACTAATCTTACTTGCAAAAACTAGAGAATGCCATCAGACATTTGTATCCAATTTGTATCCAATCCCAATTATTAGGGAGCAATTTTACATTGGCAATTCTGGAATAGCTGAAGATTCAAAAGCTGATTGACTCTAGGACATTACTTGCTATAGCTCTAGATGAGCTTGTGTTGGCAGCTGTTATGCCAACAGGCTATGCACTGCTCTTAATGAAGCAAGTCAAAGCTATGATAAGGAGGGTCTCTGCCCAGCTTTGGTGATGCAGAGATGTCAAACTTAGAATAGTCAATGCTGACTAGTCATTCATGGCCTTGGTCCCTAACAGAGGATTACTTAAAGCAATCTACGTGAGGCTGTTTTTAAAGACCACCTAGAACTACAATTAGTATACAATGAAATTACTATTAACCAGGACAACCCAACATTGATATATAACACTAATATTCCAACTGCACTATTTGCAAGTTTGTTTCCACCAGAGCAGCAGTCACCAACTGGTGGTTGGTGAGAAAATTTTGATGGTTCGCAGAAAAAACATTTGCATTTTTTATATTGCACTAAATCACGGGTCCTCAAACTATGGCCCTTGGGATGGATACGTTCAACGAACATTGTGTTGCTGCAGAGACTCTCCCACTTGGGGGTCTTTTTGTGTGGGTTGGAAGGGGGCAGAAATTCTGACTTGGAGTCTGCTTCAGTATAGTGTGGGGCTTTGGGCGAAGGCTGGAGGGAAGTGCCACTGGTGGCAAAGAGCCGGAGGGCCTAGTTCCAGTGACTGCATCATGGCCTGGAACTGGCGATGATCAACTCTGAAGTCCTACATAGCTGGAGACCTGGCTTTCTTTGAGGCCTCTTTGTGATGGCATTTCTAGCTAGATTGGAGGGGTGTTATGACAGACAGCGTCCCTAAGATCACATGATCAACATTTAGGTGCTTGGAAACCAGTATTTATGATGGTTGCAGCAGCCCGGAGTCACATGATCACCACTATCACATGATCACCTTTTGGGGGTGTCATCGTAACTTCAAACACATGTAAGATGATTTTTTTGTTTATGTGATATTTCTGCAGCCATATAAATGACAATTTAACAAACAGAAAAACTAAGGTATGTGATACTTCTGAAAATTAGTTTGCCTGAATTCTTATTATAGTCCAATTTAAAGTGCAAAATAGTTTACATTGTAAGGTTTTTTTTTCGAATTCACATACATGATGTCAGCATGGTTTTCTGGCACCAAAAGACACCATCATCACTCTCAACTGTTGGTGACTGATACAACTACAGTAAAAATAAACACTTACTGATAGCCTGTCATCTTCCCGTCTCCTCCGACCTCTGAAAATGTTTCTTCTGCAAATTAGCAAAGAAAAGCTTCTGTGAATATGTATTATGTTTATTAATATGTGATATGAATTAATGACATCATAATATGAAGACCTTACCTGCCTCTTCCCATGCCATAATCACCATTTTGTTCTACGTGAGTAATTTGAGGCTCCTTCTGTGTGTAGCTTGGCTCTTGATGTCCTGATAGTGTACTTGTTTGCCGCTCTGGCTGAAAATTCCGTAAAGTGGTTCTATGCAAGTGTCCATCACCTACTGAAACAGCACTGTGTGTGGAGGGTCCTTCTGATGAGTGTTCTGAGCTATTTGTCAACCGGAAATGAGACTTCATACTGGATTGACATATAAAAACAAGTGAATAAATTCCTGCCACAACACAAATAAATTTCCCTAGAGAGCTGAGGAAGTTGATGTCTTAAGAATCAAGGAAATGTGCCAATAACTTTTTGCTGATTTTAACTACATAGATCTGTTTGTCAAGAACTGCCAAGCACATTTCTCTAAATCAATTCCTCAATGATACTATCCAACCACAATTTAAATGTATTACAAACTTATTCTTGAGACAGGAGAGAGAGACACAAGGGGGGGAGGGAGAGATCAGTATCATATATAAATGGATCATAAAATATAAATGGGATTTCAATAAAAATAGAAAAATATGCAGTAAATCTAACAATTTTCAAAAATGCTTCCCATTGAAAGACTATTTCTTGCACCTCAGGCAACGCACTTTAAGTTACAACTCTTCAATCAAGTAAACAAGACTGTATGGATGGCAAGTATATTGCTATGGATGTTAAAAGAGATTACACTGAGCATACACTATGTTTCTCTGAAAATAAAACTGGCTATTATTTTCTTTTGGGATCCAAAATAAGCACTATGACTTATTTTGAGGGGTGTTGTATTCCACCACACCCCCAGGTAAAGGAGGCCTATTTCTGCTTGTTCGCGGTGGGGCAGGAACCCACGTGGCATGCCAATGCCACCACTGTGAGGCAGGAGTGGAGCCCCATGCACCCTGTATCGGCTTACCTCAGGGAACCTGCAACCAGGCCATCCACCCCTCACAGGATGAGCACACCACTTGGCCTCCTGCTCCATTGCAGCCATGAGCAAGCAGAAGAAGTGGTCCGGTGGCCACATGGACTCCTGTTGCACATGGCCACCGGTGCTGCTGCTGCAAGTTAGGTGTCGGGGTGTGAACGGCCTGGCCCAGAGGTCCCGAGATAAGCCAGTGCAGGGCACGTGGGGCACGCCTCACGGCCATGGCACAAATGACCAGACATAATGGGCAGGTGCCTGCACAAGTGTAAAAAGATGCTAGGGCCTATTTTCCAGAGGAAATACGTGGGAGCAGAATGATGACCCTACAGGTATGCAATATCACATTTTCCAGTTACATAAACACTCCCCATTTTAGCTTACAACCTTGTCCATTTCTTTCTAAATTCAAATAAATATTCTCATATTTATTTCATTTTCTTTTCTTCTAGTTAAGAGTTGAATTTAAGGAATAATCATCAAATGCTTCCTTTTTTTCATTTGTGGGTTGGACAATTATCTAAATTTTAGACAACCAAGCATCTCTATCTCCCTACTATCCCTATTTAGTGGTATAATATGAAACTTATTGTTGATAGACAAGTACAAGTAGTTCTTGACTTACAACCATTCATTAGTAACTCTTTGAAGTTACTACAGCACTGACAAAATAGTCATAATTTTTTCACACAACCATTGTAGCATTCCTATGGTTACGATAAAAATTTGGACGCTGGTTCATATTTATGACATTTGCAATGCCCCAGGGTCATGTGTTCACCTTTTGCAAACTTCTCACAAGCAATGGAAAACCAGATTCACTTAGCAACCATGTTACTAACCTAACAGCTGCAGTGATTCACTTAACTATGGCAAGAAAGTTCATAAAATGGGGCAAAATTTACTTAACAAATATTTCATTTAGCAACAGAAATGTTGGGCTCAAATGTGATCATAAGTCAAGGACTATCTGTACACAGGATAAAACAAAACAAATATATTTCTTCCTCCTTAAGAAGTTCCAATCCTTCATCAAGGATTCTTAAGTAGATCTGAAATAGCACATCACTGCATTAAAAAAGGCCTCTGCCAAGTTGTCCAAAAAAAAAAAAATGCTTTGACCTTACAGTATCACAGGAATATTTGTCTCCCAAAAGTTTAACATACTTATTTGGCACATTCTGGGATTTCTCCCCTGTTCCAATCCACTAAAACTCTTGGTCCAAAACAAACAATTCTATGATTAAACTTGAATGATATACATGGGTAGGGAACTGCCAAGCTTATGTGTAGCACTCTCAAACTGAAAAATGTGAGTATAGGTTTCTAATTGCTTTACTGAAGTTCTGTCTTGAACTGAGGACAGTTTGTATAAAAACTGGTGTTATTTTCTTGCTGCCACCATTTATTTATTTATTCATTCTGTTTCATTTAAGCCTGCCTTAATGACACCAGGATTTTGGTAAACAGTTAGAATTGCAAAATAATGCAACCAATAATTACCATAGCTGTGAAAAACGACTTTTTAGTGAAAATAAGAAAACAAATTTTATAAGCAATGAGCAAATAGAGTTTTCAGTTCAAGAAAAAAATATTTCAAAAATATTTTCTTGAAATGACATGTTGTCAGAACATACTTAGAAAGAAAAGAATGATTGGATATCATAACTAACAAAATTAACTAAAAAGAAATGAAGTTAGTTTTAGATTAAAACAAATGCAGACCAAAAAACTCCCCAAAACAAAGGGCCTTTTTTTTGCAGCTGTCAGTCTCAAAACCCAACTAAATTTCCTGTAGATTTTAGTAAAACTACTTCTTTTAGATATGAAGAAAATAAAATATAAAACTAAAGAAAACATAATACAGATATGAAATTGAAGGAGGAGTTGACAGGAATTCACTTATGAGCATAGATAAAATGACCACACTCTTTTATTGAACCAGTTTGGTGATTCTCCAATATAAACATAGAAGATGTTTTACTTTCCAAAAACGTTGGTGCCAACTTTCTTACCGATTTCTAAGGAATGGGCGACCTATACTCAATGCTGCAGTGTTTGTCTTGTATGAACTTGGTGAACTGAAGCCGTTCAGAAATCCACCATTCGGAAACGGAGCCTGAAGTAAGCACGACATATATCATGAGGTTCACTGGAATCACATAACTGAATACAAATTCTCAGAACTGCAATTGTAACAGCTGCACAGCTAAAACCAAGGAAGTACAAGTAGTCCTTCTTGCTTAAGATCACGGTTACAATAGAATCCTCCAAAATCTACTTATAATCCCATTCTGGACTTCTGACAGCGTATTCCCACCATGGTCACAAGACCATATTTCAGGTACTCGGAAACCGGCATACCTTTATAGCTAGTTACAGCATTGCAGGGTCATGTGACTGCAAAGCGTTTGCTGGTTTCTAACAAAAACCACCCATAGAAATGAATGGATTTGCTTTATGACCACAGCATTAGCATGAAGACTGTTGCAAAAACAACCATACAATTAATTTGGTCACTTTAGGGCCCTGACTTACACAGCTGTGTGAAAAAGTCCTGTAAGCTTTCCAGTTTACAGTTTATGACATTTTTTGGATAGGCTATTGATTTTATGATATGTTATGCTAACTGCTATGCAGATATTGTTATATTGAAATAAATACTGGTGGTTTTTAAATGAAAAGCATAAGTTTTTTGCAATTTGGTGCTGTTTGGATGGGGGTTGTGAATTTTCTTGCATGCTTACAATGACTATGAAAACAGATTAACTGATGCATACCCTGTGGCATATGTGCTGCAATTACTAAGGCCGATGCTAGTATTTTGTTAACATTTTAATTGTTTGTGGCCCTGAAAAGGACTGTTTAGGTAACCGAACATGGTTGCTAATATGAAACTGGCCAGCCCTTATTGCTTATCACCAGACGGCATCGCTTCGGTGGACTGTATAAGCCTCTGCATGGGATCTTTGGTGACAATGTGGTGCCAGGCTGTAATAATGGATTCAATCAGCTCCTGTTTGGTCTTCAGATGCTTCTTGCTTATTTCATAAGCAATCTTGGCCCACAAGTTCTCAATTGGGTTCAAATCCGGGCTCTGAGCTGGCCAATCCAGGAGTCAAACACCATGCTTCTTCATCCACTGCTGGACAGACTTGGCTCGATGACAAGGAGCATTGTCATCCTGAAAGTAAAAGTCCTTCGCTACAAGTTGCTCAGCTGAAGGAAGCATGGCCTTTTCCAGGACTTCAACATACTGCTTGGAATTCATGATTCCTTGCATGATTTGTATCCGATCAATACCAGAAGCAGCGATACAGCCCCAGAAAATCATGTGCAATGGATGCTTCACAAATAGATTCAAGCAGTACGGCCTAAATCCTTCAGCTGGAAATCTTCTGACATACTTATTGCACTGATTGCCAGTCAAGTAGAAATTGCTCTCCTCATTGACGGTGACCTTGGCCCACTGTTCGTTGGTCCGCTTGGCATACTGTACAGTCTATGCGGAAGCGATGCCGCCTGGTGATAAGCAATTAGGGCTAGCCAATTTCGTATTGGTAACCATGTTTAGTTAACCTAAATGGTCCTTTTCAGGGCCACAAACAATAAAAATGTTAACCAAATACTAGCATCGGCCTTAGTAATTGCAGCACATATGCCACTGGGTATGCATCAGTTAATCTGTTTTCATAGTTATTGTAAGCATGCATTGTAAGCATGCAAGAAAGTTCACAATCCCCATCCAAACAGCACCAAATTGCAAAAAGCTTATGCTTTTCACTTAAAAACCACCAGTATTTATTTAAATATAACAATATTTGCATAGCAGTTAGCATAAAATATCATAAAATCAATGGCCTATCCAAAAAATGTCATAAACTGTAAACTGCAAAGCGTGCAGGACTTTTTCACACAGCTGCTAACTGTCATGATTTACAACATAAATTGTGGGGCCCATTAGAGTTAAAATCAATGAGTACTTATATGTTTTACACCTATATAATTTCTACAATAATTGTTGTTACAATATAAACTTGGATGCCTATGCATTGGTTGGAGGTGTTCTCCAATTTATTACTTTTGGAAAATATTTCTTAAAAAATATTGATATAGCAATGCAGTCTAAAGTTAAATGCAAATCAGATTATCATTTAAAATAAACACCTGCTCACGAAACACAAGCTTGTTTCGGAATCAACAACCCTGGAGTTCAAATATTTAAAACAGTTCAAAAATATAAAATTAGAACAATGCAAACTGCATTTCATTATATTCACTATTAATACACAGCTGACGTTATTTTCTATTAGAGTTCTACCAATATAGGTAGTCCTCGACTTACAACCACAATTAAGCCCAAAATTTCTGGTGCTAAGTAAGACATTTGTTAAGTGAATTTTGCCCCTTTTTACAACCTTTCTTGCCACAGTTGTTAAGTGAATCACTGCTGTTGATAAGTTAGTATCCTGGTTGTTAAGTGAATCTGGCTTCCCCATCAACTTTGCTTGTCAGAAGGTTGCAAAAGGTGATCACATGACCTTGGGACATAGCAACAATCATAAATATGAACCAGTTGCATGCATCTGAATTCTGATCACAAGACCATGGGGATGCTTCAAAGGTCGTATCTTGGTTGCAGGTCACATTTTTCAGTGCTGTTGTTACTTTGAACAGTCACTAAATGAACTATTGTAAGTCGAGGACTACTTGTAATGAAAATAGTTGTTTTATATATTTGATAATGATTAATTTATGCTACTGTATTTTAGTTTCAGAGTATCATCCTGAATTTGTGAAGAACGCTTTTGTCTGCCAAATAGTTGCACTGCCAATCTATATGGTTTGACACTTCTGGAAAACCCACTTAGTTATAAGCATAAATATTTTCTATTTGGAAAAAAAATAAATATAAACATAAATATATTCTATTTTCTATTGTCTATGTATAATTCCCTGGAATTATCAGTGTTCCAATTCCCAAGCAGCAAAAAGCGGAATATGCCATTCCAACATCAATTTAATGCTGTAGGAGGGTCAAATGACATTCATTACAGGACAGGGGACTTGGTATTATTTAAGACCACAGTTATATCTTTTGAAGCAAACACTGCAAAGCACAAACATACTTACCAGGGGTGTTTCAAAATAAGGTGCAGGGTTTGGAGACCATGTCTGAGGCACAATACTATAGATGGAGTACTGTTGAGGACTGTATATAGGCTGCATGAACAGTGGTGAGGCAAACTGTGCTTGTGTTTGAACCGGTTGAACATAAACACTGGAATCCACTACCCGGTAACCATTCTTTGCAAAAAATGTGTTGATGGCTTTTATCCTGGCCTGTGTAAGAAAATTTAAACTAGGCTATATTTATCATACCAAATATAAAGACTGTTACAGGATACAAATGTTACTATTTGTATTTTATCTGTTTCCTAACAGGTTGTCTGTAGCTTTACTTTTTTTACCTTTTGTTAAAATTTTGGGATCTGCAATTAAAAATGCCAATTCAAATTAGTTCTTGACTATTTCTGCAACCAACTTAGATTCTTTGCTGAGCCACTTTGCAGAATGTCTTGGAAGCAACTGCAGTTCAGTTTAACAGATACACTTTTCAATCACTGTCTGGAACAAATATTTCTTCTTTTTTTTAGTCTCTCATGTTCAAATGTTATTAAGATTTTACCATAAGATTACTCTTGCAATTAAAATTGCCACAAAACTATATCAGAAATAATCCTTTGTAGTCTTATTCACAGTTAACTGTAACACAGTTAACTTTGAATTAAACCAGAACTAAAGTTGGTGCTTCAAAATATTATATCTATGACACCCTATAGAAAGACAAACATAAAGGTTATGATAATCATACCAATGAAAATCTAATAATGATTAAGAAATTTTAAGTGTAACTTACTGTTTAAGTATTAAACTATAACTTGAGGTATACATACAAATAATAAAGCTTACCATTATTGGCTTGCCCTGAAAGGTTTTAACTTCTTCCCGTAAATATTTAAAAGCCTGTACAGATATAAAAACATCCAATGACAGATCAGTATAACAGCATTGTCAAAAACATTAAAAAAAACTTCCAGGATCAATTTCAAGCTGAAATATAAGTAACTCTACAGCACTCTTTTGTTACTTCTGCAACATTTCAATTTTGTTGTATTTATTAAAACATTAAGAAAATTACACACCACCTTACTTTCCCATTTTTTTCTGAAACAAATCTTTTCTCAAAAATCATGTGTAGATTTTTCTTTTTAAAAAGCACAATAATTTTCTTTAAAGTTATGAATCACATCCCAGAAATAAAGTCCTGTGCAAAACAATATACAGGTAAAAATTATAAAACATTAGCTAGTTTACTTTTAACTGAAATTCAAAGTCATCAGTGTGTTCAAAACTAATGCATCTGAAAGTTCTGGAATTTTCTCTAGCTGAGCAATGGCAGATTAGAGAGCTTACCCAATGGCAGAGGAAAGGGCAAAGGAAGGCGCAATTCTACCAAAGGAAGAACCAGCACTGTGTCTGAGATTGAGCACATATCTCACCAAACTGAATGGGAGATACATCACATTTTACATAGAAGTTGTATAGTCGGACATTCAGGCACGGTATAGTCCTTTGAGTAAGGTCTCTCTCAACACCAACCTGTTCGGAAGTTCTCCTAATTTCACATTTCAGATGAACACAAATTGTTCTTGCTGTGAACATGAGGGCTAAAGAAAGTGGAAGAGGTACCAAATGGATCAGTGGAAATGAAGAAACCATAGCTGTCACCTTGGACAGGAAGAATTTCATTTGGACTTTTGGTAAATAGCAGTGTGTGCAGTGACACATCTTCTGCCATTTACTGACTCTTTACAATCACCGAGCTGCTTGCAATCATCAATGTCCTTAGCTTTTGGAATACTGAAGGTGGAGGAAAGAGATTTTTTTGCTTGATAAAAGGTATCAGGGAGTCTTAGGTAGGATTAAACAGCAATGAATGAGCTGCTGGTTGCTAGGCTTGGATAGTATGGCCCAAATGGAGTGCAGACAACTTCAGATTTGAAACGCTTTACCATTTTGCATGATTTTGGGGAAATTGGAAGTAGGTATGAGTGGAGGTTGGAACCCTGTAAACTAGGGATAGAGTCAAAGTAATTGACCCCATACATTTGTAGTAAGCAAATATGATAAAAAGCATGATTTCTCCAAAGCAAGACTAGATATCTGGGGGATGGGAGAGATAACCAATAATCAGTTTAAAACTACAGATTCTGACACAGGTTATTTTGCTTGCTTTTAGAGAATATAAGAAAAATCTCAGACCAAAATGTAAAACAAAAGACCTTCACAAGGTCATCAGAACAAAGAATTTTGGTGAACTTGGTTTTAGATATCTAGTTTAAGGGGAAAGGGCTACTACTTTTCAACAAAACTAGAGAAAATTCCAGAATGAAATTACACAGACCTACAGCTATTTGTGAGATTCAAAGAAAGTACAAAATACAACAGGTCACATCAAACAGGATTCTAATACAGCAAGGAAATTTCCTAGAAATGGGAGTTTTGTTTTGCTTGGTTTAACAAAAGTCTTGATTTGACCAAGTTTTAAATAATTTCATTTTCATAGCTGCAAATTCCAGCACATCTGTAGATCTGCAGAAACCTTATAAACCTAATTTGAAGAGCAGCAGTCTGTAGAAATGCTGAAAGAATCTAAGATTCAATGTGCCTGTTTAACAAAAGGATTTCTATGAAGAGAAGAACCCTTGATTAAGTTTGTATTTCCAATTGCAAGCTTTGGACAACAAAATGATTTCTTGCCACATTGAAGAGAATGAACACCAAAATATTTCCAACCACTTTCAGATTAACTGTATGAGACACATGTTTGAGGGTGAAAATAGCAAGAACATGTATATGTGCTACTGGTTAAGTGTAGGTCGACACTACCCTAGACACTAGAACAAGATAAATTTATTAGTGCAATGAAATTCAGAACACATGATATTCTTACCTGCTGCGCATCAGTATCTGACTGGAATGTAACGTACCAGTTGTTATTGTGAGCAAATTCACAACTTATAACTTTGGGACAGCTTTCATTCTTAAACAGTGCTTTTACCTCCTGGATTAAATATATAAGGACTATTTCAGTGAATTATATTATGTTAACAATTATGTTTTAAAAAAATCCTATCCATGCTGGAGGGGATTTTAATTTCTGCAGCAATAATTTGAAAATTACTGTTTTCATTTTAGTTTCCAAACAATGGTTAATATTAAGTATATAAAATCATTCTGTGACTTTCCAAATCAATAATTTGCCTAGCAAATCAACATTTAAAAAAAAAACAATTTACATTCTAGTAACAGCTAAGAAAAAGTCATTATTCTTTATAACTAGCAATGCTGATGTGATACCTGTTTAAAAAGGCATGAGATACTTGTATAAGTATCCGGTAAACAATACCGATATTTTAAAAATATAATCATTGCCAAACATTTCTATTCTCTCAAATCTAGCTCAAAACCAAGATGTAGCTCAAATACATTACCATATCTCAATTGCAAACTTTATCAAATATAAACACTACTTTAACCTATTGGTTATTGTCTTGCAAATGAACGTTTTCACATTGTCTTATTTGTAATAAATTTTAAAAGACACCTCTTACCTCTACTGGTGTGGTTTCAGGGATCTCACGAAGTATAATAATGCAACGTTTATGATTTGGTCTAACTTTCTCTCCTTGCTCATCCACTTGGACTATAGGAGAAGCTAAATTAAACAGAATTCTGTTTGAAATACACTGAGATAGCATGACGAAAATCTCTTCACATTTCAATTTAGTCTAAAGCAACGTCACTGTTTTGTACTCAATGTATGTAACTCTGCTCATTCTTCTGTTGGAATGTCACAACAGATTTTATGTATGCCACTAAAATACTATTCTGTATTAATGGGTATAATACTCCGTATCGGTGCACATTTCAGTTGTTTTAGAAAATACATCTTTGGTCAACTACAGGTAGTCCTCAATTTATTACCAGGATAGGGACCAGAATCTCAGCCACTCAGCAAAGCAGGTAAGCAAGAAGCCCATATGACTGCTTTACTCAATAATTGCAACCCCAGCATTTCCAGTTGCAATCATTAAACTATCTTCTGGGTCATTAAGCAGACAGAGCAAAAGAACTGCCTGCTGGGATTAGCTCCTCTCTGCACATGGAAGAAAACTGCTCTGGTGAGTTGCAGAATACTGCTTGGACCTTCAGGATCTAAGCTCCATGTTTGCATCCTGATGAAATTCAACTCTCCCGTGTGTGTGAAAAGGAACATCTCTGGTGGACTGTGGGAATGGAGCTTGCATCTTTGGAACGTGAGCTTCATTTCTCCACCCTGCTGAAGGAGTTGTGTTCCTAAGGTCCCTTCTAGCTATCCTATTCCTATTCCTATTCCTAATTCTATTCTATTCTATTCTATTCTATTCTATTCTATTCTATTCTATTCTATTCTATTCTTGGCAGGGAGCTCTTTCAGCCAGTCCCCAGAGTTGAAAGGGAATCCTCTTGGCAGGCAGCAACAGCTTGCAACTTTCTCTGCTGGCTTCCCCAATGACTTTCTAGGGAAGCTGTCAGGAAAAAAAATGCAAATGGAAATCGCATGATCATGGAGATGCAACCACTATGAGTGGTTGGAGGGGTGTTTTATGACAACTGGAAAAATGATTGGTTTTAAATCCAGGGAAACCTTACTTAGCTCTTGCCTCATTCAGCAACCATTCAAAGTTAGGATAGTGCTGAACAAGTAGCAGCATTTATGACAAATGTCTGAGTTTATGCCTTCAGAGTATGCCTCAGTCACATGGTTGCCATTGTAGTCAGCATATGTGATCCTGTGCCTGAACTGTTGGTTCCATTTACCAGCCCTTCCAGAGTTAATAGTGTTACGTGATGTCATACTAGCACGACTACAGAAATGTCTTCAGACAATGCTGGCCCAATGGCCTTGAATGAGCACTGCCTCCTATAGTCAGCAACAACTATCAGAGTAAAATCCACAGGGATTCCTTTACCTTTTTTTTTAACCTTCAGAACGATGGGGGAAGAAAGGATGACAAGAGGATTAGCAGGCACACAATGGGGAATACATACTGAAAGGAATGCAGTTGTGCCAATTCTAAATACATACACAAACAGTCCAGTGTGTCCGCTAACTCTCTTGTAATCCCTTTCTCTCCAATCCCTTTGCTCTGCAAGGAGAGAGACAAAATAGGCCAGGTACCAAAGAGATTGCTTTTTTTCCCCTCACCTTGGTAGGGCAGAGATTGCTTAAAAGGAAGAGCAAGCAATATCTACTTAGTCTCTCTTGTACCTGACCAATTGTCATCCCCTTTCTGTCAAAGAAAGTAACTAAAAACACCAATTCCCTTCTTGCTAATTATCAAAGTGCCAGAGTGATCATTCCAAAGAATAGGTGAAAGGAAAAGGAAAACAGTCACGGGCATCAATTAAAGGCAGAACTACTGGTCCCAACTGTAGTTGTGAAACAAGGAATACTTCTATATCCATTTCTACTGTGCTTCTCCAACAATAGCTCCCCTCCATAGGAAGACCCAGCATGTTTTCTAGGCATAAAATGAAATTAAGCCCCTCCCCTCAAATTTAGGCCTAGTTTAAAACATGTGAAATGGGAGGGGGGGGAAATTGCCATTAAGAGTGCCCCGCGAGCACCTACGCCTCAACATCAGCTGCTCCTAACACCATGGTGGAGCACGGAGGGCTCCCTTACTCCTCCCTTACCCGGGTCAGCAGGTGGGCGCCTCTCTCGCCAGCACCATCTCCAACAACAGCGCCTGAGTCGCTCCCGCTTTTCCCCCCATCCACATAACAGGAAAAAAAAACATTTTGAGGTACCTGGGAGTGGCGCATGCTGCGTTTTGGTTTAATCCCGAGCTGCTGGGTGGGCATGAGAAGAGCCGAGTGAGCGTCTCTGCTGCTGCTACCCTTGGTGCTCCAGCCTCGGGCTCTGCAAGTTTGCAAAAGTCCCAGTGTGCAGCCCGTTCCTGCATTCCAAGCGTCCAGGCCGAGCTGGAGCTGCCCCTCTCTCGCCAGTGTCGTCTCCAACAACAGCGGCAGCAGCGGCGGGAACCGTGGAAGCGTTTCTGCTGCTTCTCGGGTGGAGGAGCTGCCTCAGTAACTTCCACGGTTCCCGCTGCTGCCGCTGTTGTTGAAGACGGCGCTGGTGAGAAGGGACAGCTGCAACTCAGCTGCACACTGGGACTTTTGCAAACTTGCAGAGAGCTCGAGGCTGGAGCACCAAGGGTAGCAGCAGCAGAGACGCTCTCTCGGCTCTTCTCATGCCCACCCAGCCGCTCGGGATTAAACCAAAACGCAGCGTGTGGCGCTCCCAAGTACCTAAAAGAATTTTTTTTCCTGTTATTATGGGGACAGGGAAAAAGCGGGAGTGACTCAGACGCTGTTGTTGGAGATGGCACTGATGGGGGGGCGGGGGGGGCAGAAATTAAATCACCCCCAAAAGACGTCCTAGCCGTTTTTTCGGGGCTCAAAAAAAAATAAAATAAGGCCCAGCCTTATTTTGTGAGAAACACGGTATGTAATATCAAGGTCAGGACAAGAGATTCATATAGAATAATAGTTCTATAGAATTCACAAAGAAATGGGCTTTCGTGTAATTACCTGAGAATGCCCTTTCTATCTATACTGCAAGAGAGTCAGGATGGGTATGACTCCTCCCTCTGATGTTATAGAGCTGAGTCTGCCACTTGAAGCTTGTGCTCCAAGGCATGGAGTGGCTTGGGACAGAAATCTGGCAACACAATGTCTTGTGCCTGATGAAACCAAGAATTCACTTTAGGGACAAACATAGGGTCTAGCCTTAGAACCACTCTGTTCTCATGGAAAATACATATGTCCTGTCTAACTGAGCCGCTAGCTCCGACACTCTCCTACCCGAAGTAATGGCCACTAGAAAAACCACCTTGATGGTCATAAATTGAAGAGACACATATCTAAGATGTTCAAACAGGCTTCCTGTAAGGGCCTGCAACACTTTATGGAGGTCCCATGTGGGATACCTATGAACCACCGGGGCGGGAGATTAGAAGCCCCCTTCAAAAACCTGCGAACTGAAGGATGGTGGGATAAGGTTGAGTAACTGTCCCAGGGCAACACTGATGACAGAGCCGCCACCTGACAGCTAAGAGTGTTAGATGCTAGCCCCTGATCTAGCCCATCTTGCAGAAACATTAACACATCTGCAACAAATGCCGAAGAGGGGTCTCGGGCTGATCTAGAACACAAAGTACAGAAGACCTTCCAGGTAGCATCATATATGTGGGTAGTGGAAGGTTTACGGGAAGCCTGGATAGTCTCTATCACCCTGTCAGGGAGGTTAGAGTCCCTCAGAGATTGCCGCTCAAGCGCCAAACATCTAAGTGAAACCACTGAGGGTCTCAGTGGAGTAAAGCTCCTTGATGGAGGGAGATCCTGTTGGCTGGAATCCTCCACGGCTGGGCTACAGACAGATTCACCAGGTCGGCAAACCAGGGTCTCCTAGGTCAATGGGGTGCCAGAAGTAGTAGCTCTGCCTTTTCCTTCAACATCTTCCAAATGATTGCCGGAATGATCGGAAGAGGGGGAAAGGCGTAGAGGAAACCTGGAGGCCATTTGCTCCAAAAAGCGTTGATTCCCTCTGCTCCCTGGGTCGGAAACCTGGTGAAGAATCTGCTTACCTGAGCGTTTTGAGGAGAGGCAAAGAGATCTACTGCTGGAGTTCTGAACCCACAGAGCAGATCCCGGAACAAGAAAGGATAAAGACTGGTTTGGTCGATCGGTCGACTCTGGACCGACTCAACCACTCGGCCTGGGTGTTGTCGACCCCAGAAATGTGGTCCGCCCTGATGGAAAGATGAGTCTCCGCCCCAGCATTCTGCTTCCCTCATCAATGCCCTGGACCTGGTCCCCCCGCCTGTTGATATGTGCTTTTACGGCCACATTGTCAGTTATGACCAGTACGTGACAACATGCCACCCTGTTCCAGAAATACATCAGGGCTAGGAAGATGGCTCTGAGCTCTAGCCAATTAATGGGACAGACCCTGCCTACCTGAGAGCAAGTCCCCTGGGCTATTTCGCCGGCTAGATGGCCCCCCCCAGCCCTGGAGGCTGGCATCTGTGGTGAGCAGGATTCTATCTGGTTCCTTGAATGGAAGTCCTTTCCAGACTGCCGGAGATTGCCACCACCTGAGGGAGCGAAGGATCTGTGGTGGAACCTGAACCCTGGTGGAAGTGTGGCTGCTTCCTGCCCATTGAAAAGGCATCAGGAACCATTGAAGACTCCGGGCATGGAGATGGGCCCATGGTACAATGCCAATCCAGGAAATCATTTTCCCTAAGAGCTTGGACAGGTGGGACAAGGGAACTGTGCACTGCCATTGGATCTGAATGATGAAGTTGTTGAGGGTCTCCCCGCACTCGGGGAAAAGACCTTGCAGATGATCGCCCTGAGATGAAGCAATCTGGTCATTGGAAAGATGGCTTTTCTTGAAGTTGATAGAAAAACCATGGTCTTGCAGGAACTGCAGCGTGATGTGGAGGTAGCAATGAGCGGATTGAAGCAATGTCGAATGGATCAAGATGCCGTCCAGGTAACACTGGACCCTAACCAGGATTACTCAAAGCGAAGCTGCCAAGATCTTGGTGAAGACTCTGGGGGTCAATGAAATCCTGAAAGGCAGGGCCCGGTACTGGAAATGCTAGTTCTGGTAACAAAAATGAAGAAACTGACGGTGATGAGGCCAGATAGGGATGTGGAGGTATGCCTCTGTAAGATCTATGGAAGAGAGATCGCTCTCCTCAACGCTCTCTAGAAAAAGGTCTGCATCTTAAAACGCCTGTGAGGGATGAATCTGTTCAAAGACTTGAGGTCGAGAATGGCTCGCCACCCACCCACTCTGAGGCCTTTGGGATCACAAAGAGGCGAGAGTAGAAACCAAGCCCTTGTTGATCCACTGGAACCGGCTGAATGGCTCTGATGTCCACGATGTGTTGAATAGCCGATTCCATCAAGGACCATTTTGAACTGTCCCTAGAAGTCGGGCAGCAGACAAAAAAAAACTTGGGGGTGGGGAGAGGAACTCCAGCCAGAGACCCGACCTCACTGTCCTGAACACCCAGGCGCCTGATGTTGACTCCTCCCATCTGGAGGCGAAGAATGGCAAATGACCTCCGATGGGTGGGGAAAAAGGGGATTCACTTAGAGCATCGGAAAAAATGACCTCCTCCTCCTCCTCGAAAGGGCCATTTACTGGTGGTCTGCTGCTGCCTGCCTGCAGCCTCAGGTCGTTGTTCCTGACAAAGAGGGAACATTCTCTGGCCTAGAGAAACGAGCAGAAGACTCGGGATGGAAGGAAAGTTGGTAGTATGATGCAGGACGATACTCTGACTTCTTCCCCGCTGAGGAGAGAACCTTTCTCTTATCCCTGGTTTCCACCAGGTATGGCTCCAGGGTGTCAGCTTTTCTCCAGCAAATGAAGCGGAGGCCAGCTTCCATTTCTGGCGAGAATCAGACTGCCAATTTTGCAGCCAGAAGAGCCTCCTAGCTACCATCGATGATGTCATGGCCCCTGATGCAAATTTGGCCGAATTTAGTGTAGCATCCGCCGTGAATTCCACCACCGCAATGATTTTATTAAGGTCTTGATGAGACCTAAAATCGGTGGTAGGCCCAGACTGCCTACCGCCTGGTGGGTGCGCTTGAGAGTTTGCTCTGACCTCTTGTCCTCTGCCTTGAGCACATCCTCTGGCTCAGTGGGGGTGCCTAAAGTTGAAAACGAGGCAACCACTGGGGCATCCACAGCTGGAACCAGGAGAGCATTGTCCAAGGGCCTACACTGTAAAAACGCCTGTCGTGTGATGAAGGCCAAGGCTCTGCCCCCGGGGACGCACACTGCTCCTTGACCAAATCCAGAAACTATAGAGGGGATGGGGGTACCTCTGTATGAACTAGATTTGAGAAGAGAGTCACTGTGGCTAGAGGGAGCCATTTGGGGTTCAGGAGCCACCTCCTCAGGACTTAACTGGGCAGTGATTACGGCCTTGTACAGGAGCAGTTTGAACAGAGGTTTAAAGACCACTGCTGAGGGGGGTTGATCAGATCTAAACCCCTCTTCTTCAGATAAATTGGGATTCCGGAGCTCCCCTTCCTCCTTCTCTGACATGAAGGAACGACTGTGATCAGAGGGGTTGGAGTAATCCCTCTCCTCATCCTCACCCCAATCTGATTGGTAATTGAACTGTTGTTGTCTGGAAAAACCCCTCTGAGCTGGACCCCTTGGGAGTAACCAGGAACCAAAGACTGACCTCCCCCTGGTGGGCAGAGGAACTGCTGAAACCCCTCAGCGAGACCCTGTCTGATGGCCACTGAGACCATGTCCGACATCCTCAGGCCTGCTTCCTGTGGGATCCACTGGACGCAAGCCTGCAGCAGTGGAGGTGTAAGTCGCCTCAGGTCTAGGCCTAAGGCCTCCTTGAATAACCTGGCCTGGGGGAAGAGGGACCTGGGCCTCAGGCAGCCTGTCTGAAGTTGGGCCCAAACCTGCTTAAATCCTGGGGTAAAACTTCTTCCTCCACCCTCTCTGGAGACCAAGCTAAAAGACAGCTGGCAGAGCTAGATTCAGCCTCCCCTGCCCTAGTCGTAATCCCTGGGCAAACCTGGACTTCCCCTAAGGAGTCTGTTGGATCTGGTTTCTCATCTGTTCCAGTGTCTTAGCAAACTGTTATTCCAAAGCAGTATGCCTTTCCTTCTCAGCCCTGAGCTCAGATTTGGAAGTATTTTGGGGGGGCAGGGCCTTGGCCCTGATCTTTGCGGCAGCCTCTCTTTTTGCTGAATGGCCTCTTTGCCTTCTTCTCTTCCTCACTGGGGCTTGAGAACCTTCAATTTCTTCCAGGCCAGTGAGGTCTGACTGGGCCATTCCTCTCTCCATTTCGCTAACAGGACAGACACAAGAGGTGCTGGGAGCTTCCCCAGTGAGAGTGCTGCCTGCTGCGTGGGCCAGGTGAGCAGTGAAAGCTGTGAGGCCCTGGTAATGGCCGCTCCACAAAAGAAAATGGTCACCTGGGTCCCAAAATGGTAACCTCCTTGCTCCCTAGGCTCTTACCAGGCCTGAGAGATCAAACCGCCAAACGGAGAAACAACTGCGAAGCAATGAAGCGGAGGTCTGAAAATCAGCTGTGGAGCAGCCAATTAAATTAAAATTAACTGTGAAGCCGTCACTCGTTGCAGCCGAGAACTGCACGGAAGGCTCAGCTGAACACTCCCTGTAGCCGCAGCTTCTCCAACGGGCAGCATCAAGGCTCAACGCTGCAGGAAAGTGGATCCCCGCTCTTCTCCTCATAGCACAGCTCAACAGGATCCCCGGGAGCTGTGTAGAAGTTGTTTTTGTGCTTCTGAAGATTTATTTGCTGTAAAATGCTCTAAACGCTTTAAAGTCTTTTATACTTCTTCCAGAGGCAATACCTCCTACACACGAAGCTTAAGTCAAAAGCTGGGGAGCCAGCTAGGGGCTGGCTTCTTATATAGTGGCAGACTCAGCTCTATGACATCAGAGGGAGGAGTCATACCCATCGTGGACTCTCGTTGCAGCATGGATGAGAATGAGATATATACCGTATAGTAGTAAAGGTAACAAATACATTAAATATTTTTATATACCTCTTAGTACTTCCACAATAAGATCCATATTGGTTGTCAGTTTCTTAATTCCTTCCATATTGGCAATAGTCCATATTGGAATAAATTGATCACTGTCCATTTGAGACATCAAGTAAAGATCCTTGGATAGATTCTCACTAGAAATAAGTTAATAAACATTTTATGGAATTTAAAAAAAAACAAATACTATTTTTGAAATAAATTAAGCTACTAACCCTAGAAACAATTTAAGCAGTTAATAATACAACCCAGGATGTATTATTTTTAAATATAATCTTGATCATATTCCCAAATTAAAGAATCACCATACCAATATAATCCGATATTATTACTGAAAAATAGTTTCAAATTTAGGGTGAAAACGTAGACAGCTGTAAATATTTCAAGTATTTCTTTGCTCCCACCTCACACATCATTCAGATTGTTCCAAGCTGGTTCTGGCAAACATTTATTAGTGCATTACACTAAATTATAAATATCATTCCTGACTATCTTACAGCAAAACCTTACAACAAAACAAAACCCTGAATGGAAAGGGAGTCAATTATTTATCTGAATCAACTATATCAAAGAGTACATTATCACACCAAAAAATTATGCCTTTTAGGTCATTAATTATGTGAAATTATGCAAATAATTTGGATCATTGGTAAAATGATATAATTATACCTATTTTGTAAATTGCAATGGAATTTGGTCTATTCCATGTGAACCTCATTGCATTGCAGTCAGAAAATTGAGGTTTTATTTTGAATATCTTTGGCAACTGTAGTTAGAATTAAAGTACTCAGTTATTTATCCCCAAGAAAGCATGGACAGTTACTAGAAAAATAAACTACTTCTCTATTTTATTTCAGGTTATTTTAACTGAGATGTTTTTAGCTCAATCTGACTTTGCAACTATATCTAGATCTTATTATTAACACTGGGAGCCTCTAGAGATATCTGTCATTAGATTTTCAAATTAATTCCTTATAAAATGTCCACAAAACATGCCAAGTGGCTCTATTAGCTCAAACTAACCTCATGAATTCATTAATATAATCAAAAGGCACAATACCGTGAAAAACAAAACTCTAATTGTTTCTTCAAGCATTCTTTTAAATCTTCTGTAGAAATGACAGGGTTGCTTTCACCTGAGAAAAGAATTCCAATAATATATTGTCTAAAACCAGAACTTAGATTCAGTTTTTATCCCTACTGACAGAAAGCAGTTGTAACTCCCTTCCTCCTAGCTCCTAACACCCTTCTCAGAATATGATGTTGAAAATTAGGGGATTCTTAGAAAGCAGAGGCTTTGGGAACATATATCTTTCTACTTTCAGCAGTGTTGGATCAAAGGACAGTAGCCAAAGAAGTTTTTTTTCTTCATGGAGGACTGGTGGGACTACAGTAGGGCAAATTTATTAAGAACACCAAACTTTGATACCAAATCCCCGATACCTGGGGGATTCAGTTATTTGTAACTGCATCTAGTTATTCTTTTTTAACTTTATTAATTATGCAACATTGGTTTGTAGTATTTATGGTGTTCTATGTATATTTTGAACAAAGGATTGTTTTATTAATATCAACTGCACTGAAACATTCTTTACAGGATTGCTACTGTCACTTAGGGGCAATAAAGCAATCAAATTAAAGCTAATCTGATAGCAATAAACACAATTCAAAAATATACAAGGCTTTTTACTAGAAATCTATAATCAACAAATACTCGCAATAGTCTATTTGCCTTTAGATATTAATTCAAATGTGCTGAAGAAGAAAAAAACCAATTATCACCTGGAAGAAAATCTTACATGCAATTTACACACAATAAAATTAAACAGACTTTCCCTTTTCTTGTTGCATAAGCACAAATAATACAAAATGAGACTATGGCACAAAATTGAGCTAGGACACCAAGCTATCAAAGAAATAAAAAAGTATACATTGGGTTAATAGTAAACAGAAAGCATGAAAAAAGAACAAGCCATTTATCCTGAAATTATTTTCAATCTAGGGTCCTTTAAAAAACATTTAAAAGAAGAGAAATACCTGGGAAACTAAATTGTAATTTTCAACTTTTTATTAAACCCCTTAAACATGGTGTGTGGGGTGGGGACTGGAATTCTAACACTTAAAAAAACATTTTGATGTGGTTTCAAAGCCGGAATAAATTAATAACAGTGATATCCACAGGGATATTTTTCATGAAAATGTTGATCTTTCTGGAGTCCCAAAAATATTTTTTTCTGAAGTCTGTCAATTGTCCTCTGAATAACTAAATATAATATATAATGTCATTTTCCAGATTCTACCAAAATATTAAGGAATCACCATTTTAGGCTAAGTGGATGTAGCAAAACAAACCCTACTGCCACTATCCAAGCTCTGAGATACCAAGAATCTCATGCACTATACGTAACTGGTACTGAGGGTATACATATACATATAAAACTATTCAGAACTTATGTAATATACTGCATAATTTGCCAATGCATTCAGAATAACATTTCATTCCTATTTCTAGTTTTAATCAATGTAGGTTTTCACAATGTAGGTTATTTACCCGAAACATCATAGAGTGGATATCCAAGTTCCTCATGTGCTAAGACCAGACCATTAGCAGCTGATTCCTCAGCACATGAACTGTTTCTTGACAATTCACAAGATGAATACATTGCTTCATATTGTTTAGTACAATCCTCTGCAGCCTCAGTATTGCCTGAAAGAGTAAAGAGCAATCAATGGGAAATAAAGTCTAGCAGTCCCATTCTTATATAAAAAGCTAATGTTTGAGAACCTCTTATGAGAGACCAGGCTGCCCAGAAACTGGCTAGCACCTGTGCTGCTGTAATCCTGTCTCTTTAAGCACTCTCAGTAGCCAGCACTGCAACCTTGGATATAAAAGCTGTGCTGAGAGGCAGCTGGAAGTGTTATGTGGGAGCAAAGCCCTTAGATAAGAGATAATTGTCTCAAGGAGTAGGATTTATGAGGAGGAGTTGGAGTAGCAGCTGTAGGAATAGTTGTAAATTGGGTATAATTAAGAGAACCTGTGAGACCTCTAAGTATAAGATTTAAAAAAACATAATTATTGAAGTGCTCATATATATACAGTAGGTTATCTTGGATGCATCCACCAATTTTGGCTTTCCCCCCAACATTTTTATGTAAATGACAAGCTTAAGAGTGTCAGGGATAATAAGAGATACACCTAGATAATAAGAACTACACCTTCTGTCTCTCTCTCTCTCTCTCCTCCTTTTTAGAACCCTATAATCCCTTCTACATGTCCTTCATTCTTTAGATTACAGCTGTGAAGCAACTCCAAAAGCTTGTTTCAAAAGACAAAAAAAAAAGGCAAACTATGATTCAGTGATTTATATTTAGATCTTTTCTACAGATATTTGGAGACATCCTAGACCAGTGGTGGTGAACCTATGGCATGCATGCCACAGGTGGCATGCAGAGTCCTCTCTGTAGGCACACATGCCGTCGCTCCAACTCAGCTCCATCGTGCATGCACGCACACTTCCCCCAAGGCAGCTGGCTTTCAGGTCTCTGCTGCACATGTGCAGAGTGCATGAGGAGGCATGCGTGGGGAGCACCCTGCATTTTGGGTATGCATGTGCACTTGCTTTGGGCACTCAGGGCCCAAAAGGTTCGCCATCACTATCCTAGACAAAACATGTCAACCAAAGTCCCCAAGGCACCAATGAAAACAACAAGATTTTAAGTGAGCTCCATAGCCCCTTGAACATTATTTATTAGATTGTAACTCACCTTTATTACTTTATCAGTAATTCAAGGCAGCAAACATACCTAATATTCTTTCCTTTCTCCAGTTTTCCCCACAAGAACCCTGTGAAGTGGGTTGGGCTGAGAGTGTGATTACCTCAAAGTCACACCCATAAGACAGGACTAAAATTGAGTCTCCTGTTTTCTAATCCAGCACCTTTACTATAGCAAAGTTGGCTCTACACTGAATATGAGCTACTATATAATTTTTTTTTACTGTGACAAAAATATTAAACACAAAGGAAGTAATCATACTACATGGAAATCTCAGTTTAATGGACCGATTAGAGTAGGGGTGTCAAACTTGATTTCATTGAGGGCTGCATCAGGGTTGTGTTGACCTCAGGGGAGGAGTCAGCTTGACATCACTCCTGTCAGGGGCGCCTGTGGTGGCCCAAGCACTCTGTCAGTGAAAATGGGCTCCCAAACTCCATTTTCAGCTGCCATGGCCTCCTGCAAGCCTCTGCCAGTGAAAACGGAGCTCAGGAGGGCCACAGAAGCAGCATGGGCTGGTTCTTTGCTGTTTCCAGGGCAGCTCCGTGGGCCAGATCTAAGTACCGCATGGGCTGGATTCGGCCCCGGGCCTTCAGTTTGACATCCCTGAATTAGAGGGAAGAAATATTTGCTATTCATGAATGGCTGCTAAATAAGGAAGTACATTATAGTGGTGATTTACATCATTTGAATGATGCTATTGGACAAATGGTAACATCTATCAATTTACATCATTTCCATAACAGTGTCATTATACAACTCTCATAAGCCACTATGTACATTTAAATTTTGTCAACTGCATATCGTTTGTGGCAATAGGATCCAAAAAAAATAGCATTCAGTTAATTTTAAATTTAATCAGGTTAATTTGCTCTGAGTCTGCTCACTGAGACACTGGCTCTTTTTAAAGAAATAATTTAAAATATAATGGAACAAAGAGATGCATGGCTAAATTATACAAATAACTGCCCAGTCACCTTATAGAGAAATGGGCAGCATAATTAAATAATAACAATAGTGAAAATGTACATGGAATCTTACCGTTGTTCAGTAAATATAAAGTACAATTATATATATTTATATACATAAGTTATTCTTCTATAGTTTTTAATGTTTTTAATAATTTATAATCATTTTATGTACTAATTTTATATTTGTTTTATATTTATTTTATTGGATTGTTGTACACCATCCAGAATCACTTTCAATGAGATGGGTGGCCATATAAATTTGATTAATAAATATTTCTATATTCTCTCCTTAACCTCTCATCACCCAGCAACAATTAGCCAAACTAATTCATATAAATACAAGATACTTAAAGAATTAATAATCTCCTACTTAGTAGCTATTACATGTCAAATAACAAAATGAAGTTTATTCATAGTGCAAATAACGGATGATGGAATCAATGGCCTCTGATTCCCTAATAAATTATTTACTAAGTTGCTCATTATTCTAAGGAAGCAGGAAGGATTGTACAGGGCCCTCAGATCTCATAATCTTTTTGTTCATAGGGTCAAGTGTTCACTAAGGTGCAGAAATGAGAAAAAGATCAAAAGACAAAAGTGAGACAAGAAAAGAAATAGGAGGAAAGAGAAAGAATAAGTCAAGAGATCATTTCTGTACATTTAGCAACATGATCCCCTCTTAGCGCGATACTTGGTCATCACTGGGCCACTGTACTTACAAGTCCTAAGAGAATTATCCTTACTATTAAAATATATTAACTAACTTCTCCGAAGTTAATGCCTCATGTTAGAAGCCACTGGCATTCAGTAGCTATCACAGGCTGTTCAAGAACAAGATTTGCTTTTTACTACTAAATTCTAGTACGAGTCTTATATCTAGAATTCAAAACTAAGAAAGGAATTAAGTAGCATTTAGATGTATCAATCTGACATCTTACCTTCCGTACAATTACCCTGCACAGCTGCTGCCTCTTGCCATGATTGCTCAGTGCCGTTAGTTACTGCTGCAGCTTCTGGGTTTCCCTCCATGCTTTCTTGCCATACCTTTGCATTAGGATTTAAGCTGGCACCTTTCGAGGTTACCTGCTGAGAAAACAGAAGATATGCATTAGAAAATAATAAAAACTTCAGAAAATAACTTTGGGTTGTTTTTATTGCTCTTTGCTGTTCAATCATTCTACTCAGGCAATCTACACTGTTTAATAAAATACACTTGTGATTTATCATTGCATGCAATTGAGTAAGTTTAGGTTCCATGTTATTGCTCAATCTCAAAGCACTCAGTTTAGAGTATAAATATGCTGTAAAGTTCTTCTGGTCATCCAACCACCTGCACATGTTGGCATGCAGTAAAGTCTGGTTCTTCAAAGATTTTAGGGTCCCCCCACCATCACCAATCTTGCTTACAACCTTTTCACTCTCTTTTGTGAAAGCCCAAACCTTATACACTGAAATAATACTTCCCTGAACAAAATCACATCTTAAAATACAACACAAGAAAAGTCTCTTTATTAAGGCAGCATAACGATACTAAACAAGCACTGACCATCTTGCCACAGAGAAGCACAAGCCAGAGAATAAGGAAGTTGAATTTCCAGAGTCTAGCCTTCTGGAGTCTCTCTAGCATCAAGGAGTAGTTTTAGTACCATCCCCTGTCCATAGAACAGAAAAAAATAGGACATAAGGAAACAGTTTGGATGGCCATTAATATACTTTTGCTCCTATACAAGTACAAAAATTGTAACAGCTGTATAGTTTTGCAACTAATAAACTACGGTACCTACACAATTTTTCCTAAAATCTCTCCATTATATTTGAAGGAGTTATTTTGAAAAAAGTAACCTATGCTTAGACTGTATTTAAAATTTAGTTTTATCTATATTTTCCCTTAACATTTGCCCCAAAACATTCTTTAAAAATAAAATTAGAACAAGACACTTCTCCACATTAATTTCACAAGAAGCAACTAATTAATCTAGGACAGCAAAAAAAGGAAAAAAAACCCAGAACTTAATTAGTGCATCCTTGTTTCATAACATTAGTTTCCAGAAGCACCTGTGTTTCTGATCAAACAAAAGTTTCTACATACTGTGTGACTGTTATAAAACCCAATTTAATTGGCTAATGTACAATGAAGTGCATTTCAAAGGCAGAAATTCACATAAAATGACTTGCATAAAAACAATGCTATTTAGTCATTATATTTTAAGTACAAGGTGTAACAAGTGCTCAACATAAGAATTCCAATATTCCTAAAAAGAGTAGGAGTAAAATAAATGTTTGCTGAATATTCTTTAAGCATAGACCTAAGGATAGCTGTTTTGCAGGATTCATTTAGTTCTGGATTCTGCAACATGACTGACATTACCCATGCACCATTTAGTATTAGAAAAAGTACATTTTAATTATAAAAATTGGATGCAGATTTAATAAAAAGTAAAACACCAGCCTCAAGTATATTAATGTTTTGGCTATATACGGGCCAATAGGCATTCCTTAAAATAAAATTGAATTTTAATATATGGGCATTTAATAATGCCCAATGCTTTATTTAGAATTGACCCACCATGTCCAAGAAAAGACAATAAACAGCATGCGCTCACACTCATATCTTCCTCTTCTAGCAAAAATGCCATGATTTTGAACAATTCAGTGAATCCCTACCAACAGCACTGCTAATTATCATTCTGAAATAAATATTCTCATTTTTAAAAGAGCAATCCTAATCCACAATCTTACAAGTGGATAAATAATGCTATAAATGCTAATACTGTACATATTTTGGGATGAGTAGCTTTTTTATAGTTGGCAGTACTTCCTTAAAATACTACTTTTTGAGAGTTTGAAATAACTTCTAAGAATAAACAATAGTTCAAATGTAAATTAAATTGATATTTATTAATAATATTTAATGAATAAACTCAAACCATAATTAAAAGCATGAAGTTTCTATATATCAGTGTCCTGCTTCTGTTAGCAATCCTAAATTTTCATATATAAGATTCAGCTGAAATCTAAAGCCAAACTATTTACTTTTACAATGTGCTGACAACACATAACTAAGCAGCCTTGAAAACAAAACATAGTGTTGTATGTCCAAGTGTTCAATAGTTTGTGTTAAGAACCTGTTACACAAGGCTATCTTTCAGTGAAATTATTTCATAATATAGCTTATATTTTTATGTGGCCTATATCAGCTTATAATACTTTCTCCTTTTTAAATATTTAAATTATTGCAAAAATTAAAAAAATGAAGGCAGAATTCATACAGCTTTTAGAGTAATAGAACATGAAGAGATGTATCCCCACTCAACAAATCAAGCAGATGTGGAGACCATATCTACCAAGATGACTACCAAAGCTACAACTCTCTCAAAAGCAAAACACAACAGAACGTTATAATAATCCTAAAATACCATCCTTGAATCAGGTATGTCACAAATAAGTACTGCATGTTTTTAAAAACGTACATTCAATTCAGGTTATAGCTCTAGACATGCTAATTAGACAAATAACCCCTTTGGACATAATGTAACTGATTCTGAATAAATACAAAAAGTCCTTGCTTTGTATTTACAATTGGGACTAGAAAATTAATTTTTAATATACTGAAATTAATCATACACTCCAGATGATCTCTTAACCAAAAAAAAAAAAAAAGCAATACTTTTCTACCTATTATAATTCCTGTTGTTGCTATAAATAGTATTTTAAAAGCACAACTGTTTTCTCAACAAAAACACTACTGGTTGATAAATTGTTAGACAACAATGTATGAATCAGGTCAATGGCTTGTTCACACTGTAGTTTGTTACTTAAGTCATAAAGGTTTGGAAATAGAACAATCAGTATTTTTATATTGATTATAAAAAATTGCCCAAGTTGCTGTGGAGAATAGATTAACATCCGCAATTGAGTCCAGAATTTCTGTTTGCAAAACAAGACAGTTGCTAAGCAAGTTTTGCCCCATTTTACAAACTTTCTTGCCATAGTTGTAAATCACTGCAGTTGTTAAGTTAATAACACAGCTGTAAAGTGAATCTGATTCCCCACTGACTTTGCTTATCAGAGGGTTGCAAAAAGCAATCACATGATCCTGGGACACTGCAACTGTCATAAATATATACCAGTTGCCAAATGTCTGGATTTTGATCATGTGACCATAGGGATGTTGCAATGGTAGTGTGAAAAATTGCCGTAAGTTATTTTTTCAGTGCCATTGTAACTTTGAATGGACACTAAATGAAAGGCTATATAAGTTAAGAACTAACTGTATAGGGTAAAGTTTTAGAACTAGAACTCATCCTGTGTGTGTTCTCAAGACTCACCCCCCCCCCAAAAAAAAACCAGAATGCATTGTAACTAATGCTGTTTTATTGGAAAGTATATTTTGGTAAATTAAACTCAAGTTTAATACCTTAACATATTTTCCATATCTTACATAAATCAAAATGTTCACAATCTGGTACTTTATACCAAAATCAATCATCCAATCATACTTTTAAACAAATGAAGCATGATGATCACACACATATTTTTGATTTAGTTCTAGGCAGATTTAAGTAATGCTTTATCTGACATCCACATCCCGTAAGAGACTTAACACATCATTTAGATGATCATTATCAGTCCAAATAATCAAGAAATTGAAGTTTAATATTGGTGCAACAAAATTTTGACTGGAAAATCTCTCCTTCATACTTTCAGTTCTGGTGGTAATAAGCCACAACCCGGAAATATTCATCAGCATTTCCCAATATGGTTCAGGCAATGCCAGTCCTTAAATTATCATAAAAATCAAAAGCTACATCTTAGATAAATTCTATACTCTGTAAGACAAAAGCAACAATAACCTATGGTACTGGACTTAAGCTAGTTAAAGCTCAAATATTTTCTGGGAGGATTTATGGGCAATGGTTAATGTTTGGAGACATTCTAACATTGTATTTAGTGATCTCTCAGGATTGCTATAACAATGATCACATCTGTTCCAAGGATAAATTGCAACAAAAGAAGTTAAGATATATAACAAATATTAGTGGGTTTAAAAATTAGTTAATGTTTGCTCAGGAGAATCTATTCACTATCACATTAGTTATGATACATAATATTCAACTGCAGAAAAACCAATGGAGTCTGGCTTCAAATGAAGCAAGAACCATTTGAACTTTTCTAGAAAAGGGCTGAGTTAAACTAAATTATTTATTTAGACAATTCAATGGCACTTCTCAGGTTGTATGGACAAAACTCAAATCCAGCTTTGTTAACACTAAAAGATTTAAATATCTAACTTTAACAGAGAGAGTATTTTATTAAAAAAAAACTCAGTTAAACAAACTAGTTGCATCACCGATAATGAACAGCTGACTTTTAACTCAGCAATTCAGTTAATATTTAAAGTGCAAGATTTAAAATTGCCTTCAAAGGACTATAGGCAAGAGTGCATGTATGTTTCTTCCATTATAACTGGCAAACATGACAAAATTTACTTATAATGCCTGCTCTTCTAATTTATCAGTGTATTTTAATCAATTTGCACAAAAAATTCACTCAGCTACTGTTCTTGACTTAACAGCTCTAGTAAACTGTTTTACATTTTCTTTTCAGATTTATTACTTTTTATAGACAGCAAATAAACAGCAAAACAGCTGTTTTTAATCTTTTGTGATCCAGCATCCTGTTCTCCAAAATGTCTAGCATGTTTATCAGACAGCCACAAAAATAACATGAAACACAGCATTTTCTATTGTTGTTCTTCAGTATTAAAATTCAAGATGAGCTAAACCATCTACAATAATTAGACCATGCTGATGCAGCATACAGAATTAAAAAAAATCTTTAGCTTTCATTCAACATGCGCACATTTCTTATACCATTCCAAAATCTACTGGGGGCGGGGGGCGGGTAAAACTGTCCCAAGTTTGAGTTAAAAGAAACATTAAGAGGGTACCATCACCCTGTCAAAATCTCTGAAACCCATCTTGAACATATACAGTACTTTTTTCCTGGGGCTATACAGTTACCATACAAGACCAAGAAATGTGAGGTTTAAGAATTTTAATATATTATAACTTTAAAAGAAATCTTTCCTGTATCTTTGCTTCCTTCAACTACAGAGCTGTTAGTCACAGCAGAGGAAAGACAACCATGGAATTCAGGATTCAATGCGAAGGTAGCCACATTCGAAGTAAAACTATCTAGAATTGCTATGAATTATCTTTGCATTACTCCTCCAATAGCAAAAGCCCCTAAACCAGCCAGAAAATAATGCAATTTTTTTGTTCAGGATTTATATTTTGTTCCTTCCTTAACAATCCAAAGCATGTTCAATCTAACTGGAAGTATTTATCTCCTCTGTAACCGTTTGTTTAATATTCCTATTGCACAGGTCCATTATCTGTAACATATAAACCAGAATTCTCAACAATTCTGGCATACTGCTGTGGCCAATGTTCTAATTCAATATGTACTATAGCAAAATGTTATGTGAAAGAGCCAACACAATTTTATTCAACTCTGTCAAACAGAACTGAATAATGACAACTCATAAATACCATCATTTAGTAGATTTCAATACTCTGATTCCAAGCTTGCACTCTTAAAAGTTCTCCTGAAAAAAGCCTTTCTTGTAAAAAAGCATATTTATAATTGTAGTTAAGTTTCTCAGAATTGTATGGATCTTTAAACATTAAAAAAACTACATATTACAAAAAGCTACTGCACCTCAAGCTGATAGTAAAAAATTAGGATTACAACTTTTCCAACAGCTTTAGTCAAAAAATCAGGATAAGTATCTGCCCAAGTTTGTATGCCTTTTCCTGCCTTGGGAATATTTATCTTCACCTTCTTTAAAAAAAGGATTAAGTCGCAAACTTTGAAAATCATCTTAATAATAATAAATGATGAGTCATGGCACATCAGGATATTATTTCTCTATAAGAATTGTAACAACAGGATCAATTATTCAGCCAATTATCCCCATATTAAATGATTGCATATATTTAATTCACAATAACATAAAAGTATTTTATTGCTGATAGTTATTACTCCATCTGATTTATTATAGATACCTTTGTAAATTAGACTTTCACTTTATAATCTTTATACATAACAGTCTTATTTCTTGGAGTATTCATTGACTTAAGATAGAATCCGATATTCACTTACCTAGACCAGTGGTCGGCAACCGGTGGTCTGCGGCCCACTGATGGCCCGTGAGAAAATTTTAGTGGGCCACCCCAGAGCCCCCTGAAAGCAATTAATCCAGGCTGCGCGGGAACACTGCGCTGCCTACATACCATGAGAACCCACCCCGCCCACTCACTCCTTACCTGGCAAACTTGCCTGCTAAGTTGCTATTTTTCCTTTTTCCCCCCCCAGCCCTCAGCTGTTCTGCTATTCCAGGAGATTTAGATTAGCTACAAAGCAGGAAATCATTGGATTTCTTGCTTTCTAGCTAATCTTTAGATCTAGGACTGAAGCTTCTATTATTCAGTGCAAACTCAGGTAGCCGATGGCAGAAAGATAGATCTCTGAATGAATCTGTGATTCTGTGAGCAACTTAAATCTGACTGCCTGCTTTGCCTGATTTTGGGTAAAAGTTGCTCTTTTTATTATAAAAATAGATCTCTGAGTGAATCTGTACAACTCAATCTCCCGCCTGCTTTGCCTGATTTGGGGTAAACGTTGATCTTTTTAAATAAAAAAATCAATATTTATATAAATATTTATAATATTTACATACAAGCCATGCCCAGTCACATGATCACCAAGCCACACTTACAAATTAGGCCACGCCCACAGAACTGGTTAACAAATTTGAATCCCACCCCTGCCTCTGTGTGTGTATGGGGGGGGGGGGGGGGAGAAATGTTAGACCTGTGTGTGTCACTCTCTCCAACGTCAGCAAACAACCTTCAGTCAAAATTCAGTGGTCCCCAGGATTTAAAATTATGAGTTTGATGGTCCCTGAGGTCCAAAAGGTTAGCAAGCCCTGAGCTAGACTATAGCCTAATAGAATTCAGTGGGCCTTGCTTCAGAGCAAGCAGTTGACATTTTGCACAACTTGAGTATAATAAGGCAGCAAACCTAACATTTCATGTTAAGTCTGCATGTATTTCTCACAGCCAAGGTAGTCTTAGTCTTAGGCATTGAGAATAAATTTTAGTTAAAGGTTTGAGACATATATATATGACATATATGAAGCCTGATGATGGCAGATGAGATTCTGCTGAAATGTTGCTACAACTTTAAAAGCACAACTACAGTGACGTGGGAAAATACCAGAGCAAAGCTGAATACCATACATACATATATATATAAATAATATATATACACACAAACACACACACATATAGAGATGTCAATTAGTTTGCAGAACAAGCTGTCAAATCATAAGCCTTTTCCTATATGTTATTTCCCAGAATCAGTCTCATGCATATTTATGAATAAAACTTTGTACCTTTAACCCTGTTCTATAAAATAGAGAACTCTAAACATTTTTTTAAAAAAATGATTTTAATTGACTGCATAATTATGTTAAACTGGCGTATCTATTTGAACTTCACTATAGTAGAAAAACTTTTCCATATGTTGCAACTTCATTTCCCATAACCTTCAAAAGCCATATATTTATATATGGAATTAAAAAGGTGAAACTGTGTTGCTCAGTTAAAACGAAGACTATTATGAAGCTCCAACTTCAGCAATTTCTGAAGGATAGAAATGGTTTAAACATCCAGCCTTACAAGACAGGTTCACACACAAAAATTACACCACTTTCCTCTTAAAAGTTCTGTTTATTTGGGCACAGTTAAACCAGTGCCACGTTGCTAAGTTACAGCTTTACTAGTCTGACATTTCGACAATAAGAACAATACAATCTGGAATCTACTCAAAACATTAGCCAGGCAAGAGGGGGGAAAAAAGCCAGCAGTCAGCTGACTATATATATATTGTACTCCTGCCATGTGCCTGCAGGTTTTTTTTTGAGAGAGAGTGAGTGAGTTGGAAGGGATGACCTCCCACGTATTCTTTTTTAAAGTTTATTTTAACAAGAGGCAAGATGGGAAATAGGAAGGCAGAAAACTGCTTCCAAAACGTTTCTTCCTCCTCGGCGCGGGACTCAGATAAGCGTGTAACCTTCACACGTGCCCGGCCATGTTCCAAGTAGCAGCCATCAGGGAGAACTTTTACGAAAGGTCACTGCGACGTTTCATGGCCTTCTCCTCCCGCCCAGACTCCTTCACACACACACAAGAGGAACAGACAGAAGAATCTAACACAACTTAGTCTACGGACTCACAAAAACGGTCCGGCACGGTCCCCTGAACTGCGCTCCCCCTCAGGCCTACTTCACCTTTACGCGGCAAGCCACGCTTCCACATCCTGTCCCCTTCGCCCACACGACCGCAGATCTCGGCCCCTGTTCACAGGCCTTCCTGGGCCGCTCACGAAGCTTGACCTTGGGAGGCCCACCCACTGGCCCAGCGTGTCAGATTGGATCCCGAAACCCGCTTCGCCCCATTACCCGCCGGCGGCCGCGTGATCCTCCTCCTCCTCCTCCTCCACCTCCAATGGCGCACCATGGCGGGCAAGTGCGCCGGGAGCGCCGTCCCCCTCCAACCTCCCTCCTTTCCGCCCGGAGACCCCCCTCCCAAGTAACGCTCCCCACCGGCGCCCACGCGAGCGAGGGGGCAATTTGCTGTGTCAGCCACCATCCCCCCCCCCACTCCAGCCGGGCGGCTGGCGGGCGATCGCGCGCCGCCTGGCGAGTCACGTGGCTCAACCCCGACTCACCTCCATGAAGAGCAGCATCTTTTTCCTCCAGCCTCCCCCCCGGCCAGTCTTTGACCCTCCCGACCCCGACCGAAGCCCCCGAGGCGAGTCGCCGAGGTCGTCTTCCTCCACCACTGCCGGCAACGAAAGCCTGACTCCGCGCAAAAAGACGAGAACTCCGCCTCCTCCGGCCTCCTTCTCCTTCCTGCCGCCGCTATCGCTCCATTCACCACCAGGGCCGAGCCCCAGCAGCAGCAGCAGCCGCCACACGCAACCCTTCCCCCCTCCCCTTCCGGGGCAATTTCCACAAATGCTTCCGGACCACGAGCGGCTCAGCTCCAGAGAAATGACCCTCTGCTGACAAGCGATCGCGTTAGCAGCAGAATGTACCATTAGCTGAAAGGGGGAGGAGGTGTCATTCTCCCACCTGTTCTTCGCAGGATCCATTCTTTTTGCCCGTAGGGAGCGTCGTATTGCAGGAATGTAAAAAACACCGCAAGATAGGGGAACCGCCTTATTGTATCCAGCCTACCCTAAAAATCTATCTTGTACGGTCTCCGCATTATTTTAATTTGGCTAAGTTCACGCCTGAGTACTTTAATCCAGCTACATTTTCTCAAGTGTAGTGTAGGGGTGTTTTGGGGGTTTTTTTGCTCAGAGCTTGTAAGACGATTTTGCAAAATGCTGCTTCTTACAGTACCTTCCTTCAGTCACTCCAGTATGCTAGAACTAAAGTTTTGTAGCATCTTGAAGACTAAGAAAGCTATTGTTTTAACTGCTATGTGTAACCTATTTTCGGGTGTGGGTGTGTGCTCTTTCTCTTGATCACATAATTGTTTGATGAAGGCATCCTTTTTTCATAAACTTCATTGCACTGAAGTTACAGAACTTAGTGTCCTGAATTAAAGAAGACAAAACCTATTCCATATTACTACTAGTCTATTACATAGCAGGTACAGAGAGGCAGGGGGATATAAGTAGAAAAAAATATATCAAACTTTTAATTAAATCTTTGTCACCCAACATCTCCATTATGTTTTCATAGTATTTTTCTGGCCCACCATGCTTTCTGTTTTGATATAACTACAGTACAGAGCCATACAAGTGAACAAGGAGGTTGGGATTTCCCCAATATTATCTCCCTTTTTATTATTCACCTGTATGTTTGCTGGCAGAAAGTGTTGTAAACAACTTTCCTGAATTGTATCTTGCACACAAGTTTTGGATTTGGCACAATATAGTTATTCTGATTATAGTGTTCTATATGTGCAATGCTCAAAGCATCCTTTTTTTTAAAAAATAGGCACAAGTTGAAATAGAGGGGAGGTTAAAAAAGGCAAAATCAAGAATGCAAAAGAAAAAAACCCCAATTTTCTTTGGTACAGGTACATTCTACATTAACCTCTTACTCTAAAATGAACAATACACAATATTTCTATAATCATAAACAGCTCTAATTTTCAAAGCCCCAAATTAAAATTTAATTTCCTTCCATTTCCCCCAAGAAGTTCAACAGTGGTTGAACAGATAGGACAAATAGATGTTGATCCTCTTTTTTGTGAAGGTGAAATTCTGTGCAGCACAAGGTTTTTAAGCTTCCCCACTTACTCAAATTTGTATAAATAAATCATTTTGAACAATAAATACTATTTTATCTCTTAGCTATGCAGCACCAAGACTGATTCAAAGATGATAGATTAAATAAGATCGGACAATTTTGTTAATCAAATTTCTGTTATTTTGGAGAAGGGATTAAGGTAGACAACAACATGTTTGGCTCATGACATGTTGAGAAAGAAGATAAGATTAGAAGATAACTTTATTGTCATTTTTTTTTACTGTGAGCATACTGATACACTTAAAAATAAAATTCTGTAATCTGCTTTCAAGAGAAACACATGTACACATGCTATATGCATACATACATATACCCATCCATCCATATAATCTTATCTATTTTTCCAAGTCATGGAATAAAATTGTCCAAGTTGTGAGTCAAAAAAATTTCCTCCAAGTAATTGTCATTCTTTGATTCTCTGTCAGTAAGCATGCAATAACAAATCAATCAATTGTGAACATCTATCTGTGAAAGATGCTTCAGATCAGCTGCCTGCTATGCAAAAGTTATAACATTAAATACTTTGTAACATTTGTAATGTAATGGCTTACACTGGCAATTCAAGTTTGGAGAAATAATGCCAGGATTGAAAGGGGACTCTGTTCAGTGCCAATATACAAATATATTCAATATTTTCAAAATGTCTTTAGCTAAATTGAGGATTATAATCCTCAACTACTACTGTATATTACTGAAGCACTGCAATGCTGCTTTCCTTCCAAAGATCTGATATATGGTGGGACATGTTATCAATGAAACTTCCTATTCAATATGTAGAATTATGAGTTTCTTTTCTCTGAAGCTTCTTTATATGCAAATGTTTGTTGCTTGCTTAGTGACATCATGAATTAGAAGCCATGGAATGGCAACGGAGACATCAATTCTATAAACAGAATCTGCTCCTCTCTGGGTGATTTTCCATTTAACTGTAAAAAAACAAAAAAAATGAAATGTAAATCTCTTTGTTGTCACCCATCCACTTACCTACCAACACAAATGATGTGATAAGAGTAGGGGAAGCTTATCTGGCTCTTTCTGTGCAGTAATCATGCATTCCCAAAGGTTTGTTGCATGGGAAAATCTACCATCCTTGATTTCAAAATCTGATGACTTTGAATTTTCATCATCAAAATCAGGAAGTGTGAGAGAATATGAATCAGAAGGTCTTGATGTGTCCAAAATTACAACCACCAAAAAGGAAACCATGCCTATGCGTTCGGTTGAAATTCCTCCTCCTATAAAGCGTGTTTTGGATAAAATTGAGGTGTCACAACTGGAACGAGCCAAGAAGGTAGGCGCCAAAAATGTAGCACCTTGCTCTGGAAAAAAACAAGTTTGCATAACTCTTCACAATAGCATCTAGGTTTGCCTCATAGATTTATGACTATCAATTGCATATGAAGCACAAATATTCTTGGACCAAAAATCAGTACGATTTTTACCATCAAACAAAATATAATCTGATTCTGGTCATTAATTAAGGGGAAGAAATGGTCAGCTCTTAAACTTTATTGCTACAGTACTATAATCTGCTTTTAAATCGTTATCATCACTATTATACTTTTGGGAAGAAAAGTCGCAAATGTATCTATATCTACATTTCCCAGATACGGAGACAACATCTTATGGGATTTACTGTCTTGGGGCGGGGGGACATCTGATGTTTTTTTAATACTAGGAAATGCAGTTTGAGGAGAGTAGCATTTGCTATTCGCCCTCAAATATCCCAATGTTTTTGTTCAGGCTTGTTGAGCATCTCCAACCACCTGTGAAAGGTAGGAAGAAGGAAAATATTAATTTATTCCACAAATAAATGCTAAAACACCCAAATTAAGCTCTTTCATATTGAAAAATGCTATATTATTGAATCCCTTCCTGAATGAAAAAAGAAAGCACAATGCTTTCCTTTTGCTAGTAAGCAGAGTCTAGGTCCTGTTTTGTTTTTTGTTTTTTTTTTATAATGGGGCTGAGAGCGATGCTTCAACGAAATCTATAAGCAGAGTTTTAAGTTTATAGTTATGTTCTTTTTTCCAAGGTTTCTGAATCTGGAGGTTTTACATAGTTTGAGTAATACCTGCAGAAATGGATTGGCCTATCTTTTATGAATTTGTTCTTTTTAAAATCAAAGAGACTTTCACTATTATTTAACTTTTTTTTTAAAGGGATACATTTCTATCCCCTTTCTTCATAGGACACAAAGCAGGTAACATACCAACCGAAGTATTACAGTAAGCTCACATTCACACATTTAGAAATTTCCCAGAATTTTAAGAGGAGAGTGAAAGAGCTCCAAAACTAAGAAGTGATTTACACAGCTGAGTTAGGAATTCCTGTAACAATTCAATATACTACTTTTCCCTGCAAATATGTTCTATTCTTTCAGGATATTTCTAAAAAACTCTTTCGCATTCTGGAGAATGTGAATCGAGCTTATGAGCGCTACAAAAAAGATGATGGCATCGATCCAAAAATAGAAAAGGAGTATCACTCCATACTAACATGGGAAGAGAAAAACCGTCGATCTCAATTCCTAAATGAAATTGACTGTGTACTAAATGTCAACATGGACAAATTACAGGAACTACGCCTAGTACTGGACTCATTAAAAGAATGCAGTAAGTTCTGTAACTCCAACAGTGGGAAGGGATGCTCTGTCAAAATTCTATCTCGTAGAAAGGTTGTTTTTTAAAAGAGTTTTGAGAATCTGATCCAATATACTGTAGAAGACAAGAATCTACCACTGTTAAATTAGATAGACTTATATAATGCATATGGAGCCTAGGTTTAGCTAACATTTAATAGGAATCTATTCTAACACAATGGTCTTAATCTTCTATACCAGGGGTGTCAAACTCGCGTCATCACGGCGTCACATGACGTATTGGGACTTTCCCCCCTTTGTTAAACTGGGTGGAGGTGGGGCCAGCACGTGACGCATCCGGCCCATAGGCCATGAGTTTGACAGCCCTGTTCTATACCTTACATCCCGCCAATTGCTCTATTAAATTGGATCTTTCAGCGATTGAAAGAAAAAGTCATTTTTTTCTTGGAAGGATATGCATTCATTTACACACATTCTGCTGTTAATTTATCAGTTGTACCATGTTTTAGTTATTTAATTAAACTTCCATTGGTTTATTTTTAGTTCATCAGCTAGGTGCATTGCATCTATTTACCTCTGTATCCTCATTCTGTGAAAAAGACTTGCGACCTCCTGCCAGCTTCCCCACTGTGGGAAGCCATCAGGGAAGGTAATAAATGGTGATCACACAACTCCAGAACACCTTTGTGAGTTGGTTGCCAAGTGCCCAAATTGCAATCCTATGGGGCACAGGGATGCTGCAGTGGCTGCTGCTTGAAAGACTGGTTCTAAGTCTCCTTGTTGAGCACTTCTGAAACTTTAAACATTTGCTGAATGAGTGGTTGTAACCAGTGGTAGGATTCAAATTTTTTTACTACCAGTTATGTGGGCGTGGCTTGGTGTGCATGGCAGGGAAAGGATACTGTAAAATCTCCACTCCCTCCCCACCCCACTAACCTGCTTTCCAGCTCTGTTCTCCTGTGCAGGGCAACCAAAGAAGACCCAGCCAATCAGCTGGGACTCAGGAGGCAGAGAATAGATGGGGGCGGGGCCAGTC